AATTTGTGTGATTCAGCTCTATAATTTCACCTGCATCTCGACCCAACTAACCTCACCTGAGAATCTTGATAGCTGAATACTACTGTTATCACCATCCATCTCCATTTCACTTTAACAACGGGTCTTCGGGTCTTCATTTCTACATGACTGTTATTAATTCCTAAATACTAGCCTCAGGGTCTTCTCTCTGTGGCTAATCTTGGTATTGCCTGTCTTCCCAAAAGTTTCCCTAAGAGCTTAACTAAGACAAAATCCTACATATGCGATTTATTCAGGAGTGGCTTGTGAAGGAAAAAGGAATTTAAGAGTATGGAAAGTCAATACAAAAAAAAAAATCCCAGTTATCAGGCTGGCTGTGTTTGGGATGATATAGGAGAAGTCTAGGAAATGAATATTAATATACATAACCTGTGATGAAAGGCAAATCATTGATTTATTGGCTCCAACCCACCTAAGAAAGTTTCCCACACTTCAAAGCCGCAAATATTGAATACGAAAGGGATTCTCTCAATAATCAGTGAAGTCCTCGGAATCATCTGACAAATGGTTCACACTGCAGGTTCAAAGCAAGCACACTGCTTAGTATCCCCTGTAGGAACCTAGTGAAAGTCTTAGTGGAAGTGTCCCCAGCTGCTGAGACTAGACTAAAATCCACAGCAACAAGATCCTACAGAAGAAGATATTATGGCGATATAGAGATACAGACAGGAAGACATAAATAGGTGTATGTGAAAGAAGCCACAATTGCCAGTAGAGATGGATGGGAAAGAAACTCAAGTCATAAAACTGGATTTCAGAGGACTGAGAAAGGGTTTACAATGAAGCATCCTGCATTTTCACCATTTGTCCTGGCATAGATGGGTTCACTTTCCATGTGTCACGCGAAGAGTCCAGAATGTAGCTGGGCTTAAATTAGTGCTGACATTGCACTGAGGGATGTCTCTGACAAGAAGAGCCCAGTGGTCAGATATGGCAGAACAGAGGGTGTGAGATTGTGTCCTTATGATGCTTTCTGATGGAAATTTACAGAGGTAATAATGCAAAACTGAGCCCGAACTGGATGCCATGCTTTAGGTAACGACGTTGGGACCTCTGAAGAAACTATAGTATCATCCCACAAGAATCAAAATTTGGATGCCTAATCCCAGAAGGACATTGGAGTTAATTTTCTGGCTACCTGCTAAGCCAGAGAGATAGAGACAAGCAATAAGAAGAAAAACATAATCAAATTAATGAAAAGTCATTTCCCCTTACCCCCATATCCTTCTTCCTGTTTCTTAGAGATCCCTTTAGAATAGAATGAAGAAAATTTGTGTAAAGTGGATTCAGCCACCTCCCCTCCCAACCCCCTGCAAAAAAAGAAACCCCAAAACTTTGCAAACACAAAAACAAATAGTGATTTAATTTTTTTTTTCGTTTTAGACTATCAACTAAATTTTAACATCTGGATACTACAAAAATTTATCGAAGCTAAAATTATTCTACAGTGATAAGGGATCAAGGGATGCCTTACAGTGCTGTTAAAAGTAGTAATGATTTAAAAAATGAAAACTGCTTTATGTTTATACTCCAAGGAGCAGAGTTATCTCAGAAAATTGGTCGTAGTCCAGTCTGTTGGGTGATCATAAGCTATATTCAATGGCTCCCGAACAGGTGTTTCATTAGGTAGGTGAGCTTGAAGGGCAATGGGATACAGCGGTATTTGCAAATATTTTTGGCTAATACATGGGAAGAATGATAGAAATGAAGAAGTTTCGTAAGTGAAAACAGGCTTGAATCTGGTTCAGCCACTATGGCTTTGACCAAGTTGCTTAACCTTTCTGCTTCATTTTCCACCCATCTGTCAAAGAAGGCAACTTTATTTAATGACAGCTTCATTGTTATATTGTCCATCTTTTTACAAGCATTCCTTCTGACCAAAAAAAAAGGGGGGGGGAGGACCCAAACCAGAAAAACCTCTTACTACTTTCTCTTCAGTCAGTGAGAGGTTTAGGTTTCTGTAAAGAGTTTTCTTTCTTTGTGTGCATGTAAAACCCAGGGCTTACTCCTGGTTCTGAGCTCAGAGACAACCCCTGGTGGACCTCGTGGGACCCCACGTGGTGCCAAGGATGGAACTTGGTTCTAGCATAAGCACCCTATCTGCTGCTCTATCACGACAGCCCCAGCACTTCTTTTTCTTTAGAAAGTCTTCTCTGTCCATCCATCGGGGAAAGAAGGCGACCTGTACGTCTCTGTCCCACACCCTGTTCATCTCTTACCAAAACTGTCGTCATACAGAAGTGCAAGAGTCTTCTTATAAATCGATCCATCTGATCAAACTCTACTAGAGCAGGGATCGTGACTGATTTGTCGATTAGTACATATTTCTAAAAAACTAAACTGAATTTGTGGATCTTGAGGATTGTGTGAAAAATAATGCTCACGGAGCTTCTATCACCTTACATGACCAATAAATAAGAACTTTAAGCATTCTATTATACACGTGCATGTTCTTACTATAAGGTCACATCTGGATTGTAGTAAACATTTGGGGTGGGGGGTGGGCGCGCACACCCGGCGATGCTCAGGGATCATTCCTGACTCTGTGCTCAGAGTTCACTTTTGGCCAGTTCGGAGGATCGATCCGATGGGTAGCTGGGGGTCGAACCTGGGCCAGTCCTGTGCAAGACAAGCTCACTACCCGCTGCATTAGCACCCCAATCCTAGATAAACATTTTTTGCTGAGTTTTAGGTCAGAGATGATTGACATTCCGAGCTGTCAATCATCATGTCAATTCTTCAGCAGGTCTCTCAATCATATTGACTTGACTTCCACGTTTTCTCTTTTCTTTTCGTTAGATCACACCCGACTGGGCTCGGGGGAGCATCTGGGGTGCCTGGGGATGCTGCCGCGTGCACGCGATCTCCTGCTCCCATCCTCCTCCTCCTCCTCCTCCCTCCTCCAGCTGTCCCTCCCGGGCTGGGGCTTGGGGCTTGGGGTGGGGGCGTGCAACAGTCAAGATCGCCCCCTAAAAGCGGAGAGAGGGGCGGCCCGATCGGAACGGGTGGAGAGGGCTGGCGCGGGCGCCCCACCTGCTGCTCGGAGCTCGTGCACGAGGTGGTGGACGCGATCCCAGGCTCGCAGAGAACCACCCCCGAACCCCCAAGCCCCACCACCACCACCACCACCACCACCTAGGGGGAACAGCGCCTTAACACAGCGCATCGAGCGCAGAAAGCGTCCAGGGCTTGAGACCTGCCCCCCAACTCCGGAATAAAAACGCCGAGGATGCGCCAAACAGCGGAGATGCCCGGGAACTACATTTCCCAGAAGGCCTCGGGCGCGCCTACAACTCCCATCACCCCCCGCGCTCGAGGGCTGGCCGGCTGGCTGGCTGGCGTTCGCGCCTTCCGCTTCCCCTGGGGGCGCCGGGAAAGTCGGGGTGGGGGGGGGGTCTCGGCGGCTGAGCAAGCTGCGGCTCTTTCCGGAGCCAGGGGTCTCCCCCGAAACCTGGCCGCTTGCTCTTCGTCTTCCTGGAGAGAGGCACGAAAGGCCGCCCCGCGCGTGGGGTGGGGGCGGGGGGCGCGGTCACGTGGGCGGCGCTGGTCACGTGATCCGAGGGGGCGGGGCGCCCGCGTCCCCTTGGCAACCGTTGGGCCCCTTCGGACCTGGGGGAAAGCGCGGGATTCCGAAGCGCAGGTAGGTGGGGACGGGATTCCTGCCGCTTCTCCGGGTTCAGACCCCCCTGAGACGTGCAACTCGGAGCTTTCGAGGTACCGGGGGTCCCCCCAGCTCCTCCTTCCGGATCCCCGCTGCAAAGATTGGGTCCAATTGGGTCTTTGTCTTCCCACCCCCAGCAGCGCCCAGTGCTGCCCATCTGGCTTCCCGCTCTTGCACTCGGGTCCTGACCCCCTCCTCGTGCCCCAGACCTCGGGCGCGGCTGCCTGCGTGCATCGAAGCCGGCAGGGTGCAGAGGCGAGCTGCTGGTGTGCAGATCCGGGGCCAGGGAGCAGAGGCGAGGTGCTGGTTTGCAGGTCCCGGCCAGGCACGGTGCAATGCACCCCTCCCTTTGCAGAAGGAAGGTGGGCCTGGAGGGGTTAGGATCCCCGCCTTGGGTTCACGAGGGAGACGAGGGGAGAGCTGTGTGATTGATTGCATTTGGTATTTTGTTGGCCCGCCCACAATTTGCAAAGCAGACCTGCGTGGTTCTCCTGTGTATATTCCCTGAAATGTTATTGATTGTAGGTGATTTCCAGCTGTCTGCACCTGCAGAATTACCTTTACTGAGTGATGCTCGATTTGGAACACGATTTACATGGACAGATACATAACTTCCAAGGCGACCGTGCTTTGCGAATGGAAAACTGACTTTTGAATTTGCTGGCTTGTTAATTTTTGAAAGATTTCTTGAGAGGACCTGGTTGGTTTCAGGTATGTTGATCTCTCACACATACAAGTACAGAGGTAGAAAATATTGTAGAGACCTGTTCACGACGATCACGACAATCCTGTTCGTGGATTGCCTCGAGCAGGCCCCGGTAACGTCTCCTTCGTCCTAGCCCTGAGATTTTTTTAAAAAGTGCCATATTCAAGGCTCTCTCAGGGTTAGGAGAATGAGACCCGTCATTGTTACTGGTATTTGGCATGTTGGGTACATCACGGGGAGTTTGCCAGACTCTGCCGTGTGAGACCTATTAGCAGTTGAATATTGTAAATGATGTAAGGGTCTTGGGCACTTTGGGAAGGGCATGGGTATTATATTAACTTCATATGTCAGCGGCATAGACGTTGACACGTGTTACCTAAACAGCAAAAAAACATTATAAAAAAGATACAGCAGCAGTTGGATATTAAGAGTGGAATTGTAAGTCTAGATCTTGAGTTTGAATCAAATGTGGAAGCGTCTTTCCCAAATCAGTTTGCACAATAATTTAGCACAAGATATATGAAATGTATGAAGTTTGGTTATATGTCAAGTAATAATTTTCTCAAAATATGTCAATATCTCTCATTACTTGGCGTTTCCGATGTTGTAAATAGTTTGGAATGCTTACTCTGAGGAAGTGAAGATTATTGATTATGGCTCGCTATTCCAAGGAAGAGCTGGATGAAGAATTTGAAAAGTTTATGAAAGAGGTAAATTTTCATTTTCAAAACCTGTGTTGTAAATTGCCTTATATAGCAGACTCATCCTTCTGGTGTCTTACCTCTAGGATGCCACCAGTGCATTACCCAGCTCTGTGACCACTGTCTTCGTATTTGGGCCATCCCTCTAGTTCTCACATTTCGCCTGTCCGCATTCTTGTCCAGACCACCGTCACGCACTGTGGTGATTTCCAGGTCCTCTCCTTGAACTCCTTCACCACAGTGCAGTGTACCTCTGGACATGAATCAGAATGTATGATGTGAAACGCTCGCTTGGCTTTCTGTCGCATATGGGTTCCTTCGCCTGGTTCATATAGCCCAGGATGACTGTTTTCGTGCCGGCCCCACTGGCGTTATACTATTCTCTGCCCCCGTTCACTTGTGCAGCGATTGCCTTTTCACACTCCTGGTGTAAATGTTGCCATACGTTTCACATCAGGGTCTTTGTACTGACTGCCAATAGTGTCGTTCAGGTATTCTGAATCTGACTGAAGATCTTACCTTAAAATAAGTACTTCCTTCGATGGGGCCAGAGAGCTAGTACAGTGGATAGGGCATTTGCCTTGCCTGCAGCAGACCCAGGTTTGACCGTCAGCATCTCATATTGTTCTCCAAACACAGCCAGGAGTGATTCCCGAGTGCAGAGCCAGGAGTAAGTCCTTAGTGCAGCTGGGTGTGGCCCAAAACAAAACAAAACAAAAAAAAGCCTACCTGTAAGAGGTTTATTTTTGCTGTTGTTATTTTACTTTTTATCCAATAAGAAGTAATCACCAAATCATTTTTTTTTAATTAGAGAGACACCATGAGGTACAGTTGTAGACTTACAAATATTTGTGCTTGGGTTTCAGTTATACAATGATCAAATACCCATCCCTCCACCAGTGCCCATTTTCCACCACCATGGATCCCAGTATCCCTCCCACCCCCAATTCCCCACCCCCCCCCCCAATCCCACCCTGCCTCTGTGGTAGAGCATTCCCCCTTGTTCTCTCTCTCTCCTTTTGGGTGTTGTGGTTTGCAAAAGAGGCATTGAGTGGCAGTCATGTTTGGTCTGTAGTCTACTTTCAGCATGCTTCTCCCATCCTGGGAGGATCCTCCCAACACCCTTTAACCAAATCAATTCTTAGTAGATTATATATTTCTGTATGTAGTACATTGCACCACTCAGTAATTCACCGGTTTGAGTACAGTTTTTGGTTCCATTATAAGAATTGTGATCTATGGTAGCTAGAGGCTTGATATTTGAAGAATGGATAAATTAGAGCGTTTACTTGACATATTTTATATGTTTCTACAAACACATAGACCTTGAATACAGCTGACTCGGGAGAACCACACTTTAAACTATTATACTAATCTTAAAACAAAAAAATGCAAGGGAGGGTGTCTAGGCCATACGAGGTAGTGTTCAGAGATTACTCCCAGCTCCATGCTCACGGGTCACTTCTGATGGGGCCCAGGGAACCCTATGGGCTGCCTTCGATTGAATTGAGGTCAGCTGCTTACCAAGCAAGTGCCTTACCCCGGGGCTATCTCTGCATCCCTGTACGAATATTCTGATTCCCAAAGGGAGTTTGATGTCTAGTGTAGGGAGAGCTGTGAAGTAGATGGTGAGGAAAATCCTAGAGCATAATCCGGAGGGAGTGATGCTGGGGGTTCCATGCTAGAGTTGCAGGATGGGAATTCAGCATCACCAACCAATTTCATGATGTAATTAGAGAAGATTCGGGACAGTGGTTCTTCTTCTTCTGTGACATTTAGGAGGCCTTGGGTCTGGAGAGTTGTTTGATAAGGAAACCAGATTTTCAGGGGTTGAGCTCGAGCTCCTTCGGTGGGTTATATGAGCAGGGCTTCTTCTTTTTCTGAAAGTTGCTTTCAAAAAAACCATGTTCCTTGGGCTGGAGGGGATAGCGTAGGAGTGAAGGCCCTTCCTTCCCTCACATGCAGGTGACCCCGGTTGGATCCCTGCCATGGCGTTTTGTCCCCAAGCACAGTCAGGCGTGATCCCTGGGATGGGTGTTGGAACATCATATGAGTGACACCCAATCATGAACAACCTTCTAACTGTGTATTCAATAAGGGAAAAAAAAAAATTTTTTAAGGAATAATCCCTGAGGATCACAAGGTTTCCCCTACCTACCAAAAAGTAACCCTCATCACAACCCACAGTTCATAAAGTTAAAATATAAAGGACAAATATAAGAAGAATGAAAGGGATGATTTGGTGTGTTTGTATATTTGTTTTTGCTTTTTTGGTATTGCCATTTTTCTCTGTTATGCTTAAATCTGAATGTGAAGTAGATTTAAGAGATTTGTGTTTGGTTTTTAAATTATTATTTCTATGTGTTTTTAAAGATATTTATTTACTATTTATTCACTATTTATTCACTATTCACTATTTATTCACTATTGTAAATAATAGTCATGCTATCACTGAACTGAGAATTAAAAACATTTTTATTGATGAATATTGGGTTCACACATTTAAAGAATATTTATTTTCGTATCTGATTTAGCTTTCTGATGAGTCTTTTGAAAATTCAAACAAGACACTCAGACAACCTCAAAAAGAAGTGAAGAAGAAAGATGCATTGCCATGGTGGTTAACTGAAGATGATTTGGAAGATGACAGTAAATATTGTTGATTTTTAATTTTAAAGTTTTTGACCACCAGGGGTCAGTCAAGACCTAAATCTGGATCTTGGTTTCTGTTCTCTAAATATGTTTTTTAAAAAAAACAAAAACAGTACTTATAATGTTCATTTTTGATGGTTGGCTTGATTTTCTAATTAACTTTTTCTATAATTGGGACTTTCTGTGTTATATTACATTTGAGATAAATGTATTTATATAAAGTAAGATAATGCATAATCCAGGTATAATCATGTTTAATATTAAAGTGATTTAAGGTGAATTAATAAAATTACATCAGGAAGATTTTAATACACCTATAGATTTTGATATCTGTTAAAAACAGAAGGAAACAAAAAGGAGTAATTTGATTTTATGATGACAAAAAAGCAGTAATAGACTTTGGTATATGTGTATGTAATACACCTTCCTTAGAACTATCTCTAGTTACATCTTTGCAAATAAAAATTACAGAGTTTTTTCTCCAATCTACTTAATACTTGCCAGATATTATACTGCTGTAACTAGCGAATTCCAGTCTAGTATGAGTGCCTGTTTTCATGCTATTTCTAAATCAGTATTAAATATCATTTTGTAAGCTGACAGCATTTCTGCATTCCTTACCTCAGGGAGATATTTTCCTGTGTTTTAGATTTTTTTTTTTTTTTACATAAAATTGGGGTCTGGGTATTTTAATGCAATACTTAAGGTTCTGTATACTCTGACTGGAACTCTCCTTTCTAGCCTCAAGGGCTCTAATAATTGTTCCCTATCTCCTGTAATCTCCTGGAAACCACATTGGCTTTAGTTTAGCAACTTTTTGTACCCTGTTTTTATCTGCTGGGGCTTGGTTTGGGCCAGCGCTGGGCTCTGTTGTTGGGCACACCTCTGGGGTTTCTCAGCCTACTCAGCCATGCACGCAGGGAGAATCTCTGAAACTTGTTGAACTCTTTCGAGATTTATTTATGAGTCTCTGTACCAGCGCTGGTGAGTGAGCGTACTTGGCACCAGAGGTGGCTGATGGATGTGACTCCTTTCCTACTCCTCATGGAAAGCAGAAGAGTCTGTAAAGTGGCAGGATAGGCTCTATGACTCCAACAGGTTTTTAAATATTTGTTTTACTGTCGCAACTTCAGAAACATTCTGTTTAATAAGATGCCTTACAAGCAAATAGAATTGTAATTTTTTGTGTGTGTGTATATTTTGGGGGGGACAGATTCTTTTTAAAACTTGGCTCTGATGCACTCTGTTAGTCTATTATTTAATAAACTAGGTTTGTCTTATAAGTTCTGTTCACATAATTAGTGTAATAGTTTACTGGTGTTGAACATTGTGGTCAAAACAGTTTTCAGAGCATAAGTATTTAACTCTATTAAATCTCTTTCCTAGGATTGCTTGAAACAAATGTAAGCTATGTGAAAACCAAGAAGATTTCTCAGCCTCTTACGGACATAGAAGAGGAGTCTGCTGAAAGGATTCAATTTCTTAAGAGCAGTGGAACCTCAATCTTAAGTATTGACAGCTTAGAAACAAATGGTAAGAAACATCAGGGACATGCGTTGACAGGCAATAAATGACTGTGCTTATAATCAGGGTATGTTTCTTTACAAAAATTAACTCATCACTACTGTGCACTTTACTGAAGCATGTAGACAAATCTAACATCATCTGAGAAGATTTAGAGTTACGCACGTAGAGAAGCCTTATGCAGCCTTTCATATTGGCTGTAGGTATAAATTTGCATTTGATGTGTAAGGGACTAGATATTTTAATCTAAACGATTCTATTGTAATGTCAATAAGTACATAATTGATAATGTTGTCAAAAACCTATAACTCACAAAGCATATTCTCTTTATCTAGAGATAGTTTCTGATCTCAATCATAGTGTTCTTGGATTGGGGTTGGACACGTTAGAAGAACAAGAAGAAAAAGAGCAATTTTTCGCCCGACTTGAGAAAGGGTTAACATCTTCCATTGATTATTCGAGACTAAATAAGGAGTTGGATTATAACGACTCAACACATTTTAAAGATTTACAGAGGTAATGTATAGATAATATAAACTAATTAAATGATTTTGTGTTTTTATTTTCAAGGCTAGCATGTGTACAACTTCAGGGGTAAACATTATCAGCAGACAAAAAATTAAACCTTACGTCTGACTTTATTTTCCACTCATTCTTTTGGGCGGAGGTTTTCTTATACGTGCAAGGAATGTGCTTGTTTGTATTTAATAGCACACATTGCCTCCAAATACCTGAAATTTTTTGTCTGAGATATAACGGTTACAAAGAGCACTTTGTCAAAAACACCCGACTTGAAAGTAACTTTAGTGATTTTCCATAAAGAAGGTGTTTAGGGGAGTTGCGGTAACTATGTTGTAAATTTTGGAAGAAGAAGACTAAAAGGGGAGGAGAAAGCAGGTGAGCAGAGAAAGGTTTGGTCTGTGTCCAACCTTTGCGTATGATTAAGCCTGATGATGACCAGGAGTCCGTTACCCTGGAAATCCTGCTAGTCAACTAAGCACCTTTGTTCTAAGAGTGGCCAACCTTTATTGTCTCGAGACCTTTGTAAAATTCGATGTCTTAAGGTCTGCATTTTCAGGTTCCCATTTTATTTTTTAAATTGTAAGTGAAATTTAATTGCAAAACTCCAAACTAGAATAAGGGTAAGACGAATCATAACCTCTAGCAGACTAGAAGCTTGCCTCGTCTCCTTAAGATGCTTAGTTTCTTATAGATGTGGACCAAGAAGCACAGTGACAGGTCAGGGGTGTGGCACAGTGGGAGGGCATGAACCGTGCGTGTCAGAAACTCTGAGTTTGATCCCTGGAACCACAGGGCCATCTAAGAGCTGGCGGGATTCCTAGCAGTCCCTGGGCACCACCTGGACCTGAAGTGCTACCCTCAAGCTAGCTCCACAGGGTATAGATCCATCAACGACTACTTTTTTAAAAAGGATTTGTACCAAGGTCACTGTGTGTCACTACTGTGAACTGTGCAGAATCCAAGGTTTTTGCAGCTCTTGTAATATAACTTTGGACAAACTGGCAGGCTACCGAATGTAACCTGTTCACACGGTAGAGTCTGGCAAACTCCCCGTGGCATACCCAATATGCCAAATACCAGTAACAATGATGGGTCTCATTCTCCTAACTCTGAAAGAGCCTTGAATATGGCACTTTTTAAAAAATCTCAGGGCTAGGATGAAGGAGACGTGACTGGGGCCTGCTCGGGGCAATCGACGAACAACAGGATGGTTGTGATCATGATCATGTAATATAACAAGTCAACCTTCCAGTTTTATGGAGAATGGCAAGTAGACACAAGATTCCTGAGCCAGAGAAGTACCGGACTTTATTTCTCACAATATTAAGTGCCCTGGTGTCACATTCTTTGTCCCTTGCTAGCTACATGGGACGGCACTGAGGCCCTGTTGTCAGCTATGCTGTGAGTTGCTGTATAGGAGAGGATGACTTATGCCTGAGGAATCTATTACCCTACGGTGAATGGAAACAGGCCTGCTGTTTGGACTGAAACAGTGCTCCATCTCTCAGGGTTCCTTACTGCACACCTAACTCAGAGAAATGACTTAGAAAGAGGAGTCTTGGCACTTCTTGGCACATCAGGCAGGAATCTTCTGAGCCCCTGGTAATTGCCTCTCCAGTGGGGACAGCACAGAGAAAGCTTCCATGGGTATGCTGGCCACAGACAGTTGCCTCTCCGCAAGAGTTCTTAACTTTTTCTGATTTCTTAATCCTATTCTTTCCATTGATACTTCTGTTCTAGAACATTTTAGAGTGCAACACGTAGCAAGTATTTGCTACTGGAATTATCGTCGTGATAGTTTCTTGGATTTGCTAATGATCACACTAAAGATTAGGTTGAAAGAAATCAAAACATGAAGTAATTTGTCCAAATACAATGAAAAATTCTTTTTTTTTCTTTTTGGGTCACACCTGGTGATGCACAGGGGTTCCTCCTGGCTCATGCTCTCAGGAATTATCCTGGCGGTCGGTGCTCAGGGGACTATATGGGATGCTGGGAATTGAACCCAGGTTGGCTGCGTGCAAGGCAAATGCCCTGTCCGCTGTGCTATCGCTCTAGCCCCATATAATGAAAAATTCTTAAGGTCCTTTCCCACCTGGCTGAGTTTTTCTGAAGTAAGCTTCTGTTCAGCCTCCCTTTCAGAATTTCTCTGCTGTTTTCTTCTGGTCTCTGAATTGACTTCACTTGCTTTCATAACCTGTGGTCAATTCCTAATCTTTAGTGTTGAATGGGCATCTGGGTTCTAAGATGATGTATATATATATATACACACACATATATATAAATGCATACATTTATGTATAAAATTATCTATAATTACATATAAACTTAGGAAAGAAAGTCCTTTTCCCTGTTTTAATTCGGCAGTTATGACCAGCCTGAAACTTTGAGGATTCTTGTATAGATACAGCTTCTTGTATTTTTGCCGTATTTTATTTTCAGTGTCAGGGATTGAACCCAAGACCTCACATTTGTAAGGTATTGTAGACCACGGAGCTACATCTTCTGCCACCCCCGGGTTTTAGCTTAAAATAAAGCTTAAGAATGCTTGAAAAACATATATGCTGTTTGAGATTTTTTAAGTATATACAGATATGTACAGAAAGGATCACATAGAAGTATTAATGCATTAACCTGTAATGCTAAAATATTTTTCCAGTAGTCAAGCTAATATAAAACTAACTGAAGAACTAACTGAAGATAAACATGAGAGTGAATCAAAACATGAAGAACTGTCAGGTAATGCAATTGGTTTTATAATTTGCAATATTTGAAGTGATGCTACAGCTCTCAGTAATAAAAAAAAAAACATTGGTAAGAGAGAATTAAAGAAAAATTTCCGTGTCTTGGAAAGAGCTTTGGATAGGTAGAGTGGATTTCTTATGTTACTAGGCTGTTACCACTTTTAAAAATATATAAAGAAGATGGAGTAAAGAAATAACTCAAAGGACTAAATGCGGTTGGGGGGCACGGGGAGGGGGGGGCATGTTCAGTCCTGGTTGGATGCCCAGAATTCCATAGTCTCCTTAATGCGACTGGGGAAACCCCCGAAGCACAGTGCTGGGAAGAGCCTTCTTGCACCTTCAAGCATGACTCCAACAACAACAACAACAAAAGCAACAGCCAACAGCAGTGGTCTGAAATAGAGCCTTCCCTAGTATGAGCTAATGTAACCCTGTCTGATTCCAGACTTCTATGGCCAGCAGTGAGAGTCAGTAACTGCTGTCTAACAATAGCAAAAAACATGCCACAGCTCTCTCCTGTCAGAAAGCCCTGACATATCACTTGGAATTTCAGCTGAAATGTGCCAGGATTACAAACCAGTGCATGTCACCATTTTTTATGTAAGAGAGAAGTCAAGGTAAATCAGTCAGAAACAGTCTTTTCATACACTGTGTAAAGCATAGAGTAGAAGTACCTACAAAGGTTTTGAAAAATAGGTTTTAAAAAAACCCAATCTTTTTAAAAGATTTAGGATTAAAAATGCCATCTTTCATAAGTAGGCAACTTGAGATTTTTGTCTTTAACAACTTATTAAAGTTGTGTACCTCTTGGATAGGTCTAGAGATTTTTCATTTTGTTTAGAAAAGATCAAGCACAGAAAACTCAACACTACTTGCACTGCACTGTAGGTCTGTCCTCCCGTTGATCATCGATTTGCTCGAGTGGGCCCAGTAAAGGTGTGAGACTTGTTGTTACTGTGTTTGGCATACCGAATACATCACGGGTAGCTTGCCAGGCTTTGCCGTGCGGGCGAGATGCTCTCGGCAGCTTGCTGGGCTCTCTGAGAGGGTCGGAGGAATCGAACTCGGGTTGGCTGACTGGCTGTGTGCAAGGCAAATGCCTTACCTGCTGTGCTATCGCTCCAGCCCCAAAACTACTTGAAAGCACAAAAATAAAAGACCTAAGATAGTCTTATGAGTTGAATATTTTTTAAATCTTTGAAAAAACAAAACAAAACACCAAGCACAGAACCCTATGTTCTCCAAAGGTGCCTTTATGTTAATATTTCAGTGAATAGTTTTAATGTATAAATGGGAGGAAGATCACCTTTTTTTAAAATTTGGCGTTTTCGACAGTGTGATTCTTACCTACTTTTTTAATTCTTCAGAAAACTACAGTGATGATTTTGAACATGAGGACATTGACGTATCTTCGGCTGCTAAAGATGAAGAGATTAATTCCAAAGAAAATTCAGAAAAAATAAATGTACCTAAACAGGTATAAAGACCATTTTAAAACTTCCTTAAACACTTTTGTTGACTCTTACTGAATGAAGAGTTCAAAATCAGAGATCTTCTTAGTCTCATTACTGTAAAGTTACGGTCTTTTAACATGTGGCATTTTCCTAACTCAGGAAGTCAATTTTAGGATGCATCTTAATGAAATATGGCAATGGATTTTTTTTAAGTATTTTTTCTGCCTACCAGTTTTTTTGAGAAAAGCTTTAGAAGTTGAAAACTTAATTAAAAATCTCAAATCTAATTTTTAAGCAGTATTAAATTACACCTTTCTCTGGTAAGTCTTCCTTGTGAAGTACAGTTAATTTCCCTCCATAGTATTTGGAAGTACTGTTTAAAGTTTATTTAAGATAATGAATTAAATTAGTACATTCAGAATAGCTTGCTGTGCTTTAATTCTCTTCTCAGTTCTTATCAAGGTGATTAAAGATACTATAAGGTAAAGGTAAAGGCCCTCCCGTTGATCGTCGATTTGCTCGAGCGGGCCCAGTAACGTCTCCATTGGAGACTTTGTTGTTACTGTGTCTGGCATATCAAATACATCACGGGGAGCTTGCCAGGCTCTGCCGTGCGGGCGAGATCCTCTCGGCAGCTTGCCGGGCTCTCCGAGAGGGGCGGAGGAATCGAACTCGGGTCGGCCATGTTGGCTGCGTGCAAGGCAAACGCCCTACCGCTGTGCTATCGCTCCAGCCCTTAGCACAGCAGATAGGGCATTTGCCTTGCTCGCAGCCAACATGGCCGACCCGAGTTCGATTCCTCCGCCCCTCTCGGAGAGCCCGGCAAGCTACCGAGAGTATTGGATATGCCAGACACAGTAACAACAAAGTCTCCAATGGAGACGTTACTGGGCCCGCTCGAGCAAATCGTCTTAAATAAATCTATAATAATGATGAATTCAGCTATATTGTTGATTTAAAAAGTCTGAGGTTTTTAAAATTATTTTTTGAAATGCTAGGTGAAACAGTGAGTACAAGTTGTATGAGGGGAAAAAAAGATTTGTCACTTTCCTGTACCAGGAGACTTATGTGAACTCGCTGTGTTGTCTTATAGTTCAAAACAGATTCTTTACAAGGTAGATGAGCATATGGCACTTAAATACTTTAGATAAAACTTATTCGGGCCGAGGTTAAGAACTGGTAATTGGCAAAGTTCTAAACAGACTCCTGGAAGAGCTCTCACATAGCTAGTCTCTACTTTTAAAGAATTATTGGTGAGGGTGATGAGAGAAACCTAGAAAGCACATTTCCTGTTCCATTTTCATAATGGAGTGACTCACTGGCTTTTATATTTTGCTATTATTTTCATTGTGATCATTTAATAGAACCTTATTTTAAATCATACATATGGTAATTTTCATTTTATAATTTAGGAAGAAGAGAAAACTGGAATGCTGGCAAATGGTAAGTATTGTGTACATTCTTTTTTTTTTTGTTTTGTTTTTTCTTTTTTGGATCATACCTAGCAATGCATAGGAGTTACTCCTGGCTCTGGACTCAGGAATTTACTCCTGGCCATGCATGGGGTCCATATGGGATGCCAAGGATTGGACTCAGGTCGACCCGTGCAAGGCAAACGTCCTATCTACTGTACTATGACTCCGGCCCCTATTGTATATATTCTTAACTTTTAATTGGCAAAATTTCTCTGTTCAGGATAATTCCTAATCATATCTGTATTTTTTAATGTTACTAATTGTAAAATCTTATCACACCGAAGGTTGTGTGTTCATGGGCTCACTGGATGGCTCTTTCTCACCGCCTATGTTCGGTGCTCTTGAGTCCTGTGTGTGGCCTGGATCAGGACGGCTGTTCTTTCTCTCAAGCTTGAGTCCCTCTCGCTCTGACTCCCTTCTCCCCAGCTTACAGTCTTAGTTTATATAGCAGTCACATAAGGCGGTGACATAAAGGTGGGTTGAATACTGACGAATCAACAAAGAGAGGTAAGACCACTCCTCCAGGAGATTAACTCAAGGATAAAATCTCATCTACAGAGATTACTCCAGATTACTAGGAGATCTACTCAAGGGTGGGATCCCAACAAGGGTGTGTTCTTCCCTCAGTTAGTAATCTACTTAAATAGTTGTAATAAATCTACCTCTAATATTTCTAGCAATGTCATTCTGTATGAGCACAGTAAGAGATATAAACTTAGTTTGGTTCTTCCTGAGAACATCTCACTATACATTTCGCAGTCCTCAGGCCAGGTTAATCTTCCTAGCTCCAGCAGGGTCCTAGTCTCGTCATTACTTACTTTTGGATCATGACAGCATTTGTCCATGATCATTCCCTCAACTTATAGTTGAGTATCGTGGCTCTTTGGCCTGGCCCATTTCGATGCCAGGGTAGCTCACTGCTTGCCCTGGGTCCATTCAGTCCCTCGTCGGGACCCTGCTTTTGGGGTGCTAGGAACTAAGGGCAACTGAGTCAAGAAATCAGATGCCCAGGAGTAAATATTATTCGGAGTCAATCAACTCCCAAGTTACAAAGCATAATATTAACTGTCTTCCTGTGTCCACACAGAAAGGACATTGCTTACAATACAAGTTCAGTGTCCTTAGATGGGTGTGACCTGACAAACCTAAGCTACCTGAGGAAGGACAAAAGAGTGTTATCCTACAACTAATGTGTTCAGTTTCAAATATTTTCTCAGTTATATTTCCTTTATGTCTGTCTTGAGTTCTTGCTTTATATTTAATAAATTTCTTTATTATAAATTCAGGACCAGATAACTTTAGGATAAAATCTATCAAACATTTAAAAATACATTAAAAAAATTTTCCAAAAAAAATAAATAATTTAATAAAGAGATGTATACTGATGTATACTGATCACTTGATCGCTTGAGATCAATTATACTGATGTATACTGATGCTTTTGAAACACTAATGTAAGAAATTATGGAAGGTACAAATAGATGGGAAGAATTAATACTGTTTAAAAAATCTATACTGCCCAAACTTACCTACAGATTTAATGCACTCTCTACCAAAAGTTCATGTCAAGTTTTGCAGATATTGAGGAGAAAAAAGTCATAAACAGACGGAGCATGTTGAGAAATGAGCAGAACATTGGAAGACTCATGCTTCCTGATTCCAAGCTGTATTTGCAAAACTGTAGTAATCAAAAGACTGTGGTGTTGGTATTTATCTGCATGGTTCAACAGAACCAGAATGAGGAGGTTAGAAATCACATATGGCGTGGGTCGGGGGAGGGGCTGCAGAGAAAGTGCAGCCTGGAAATCACTTGCCTGGCGTGCAGCCAACCCAGGTTTGATCCCGCACACCCTTTCTGCTCTCCTGAGCACTTCCAGAAGTGATTCTGAGCGCCTCTGGGCGAGGCCCCGAAAGAAAACAACAAATCAACATAATGTATAGATAAGGAATTTTTGGCCCACGGTACCCAGGGAGGGAAGGACTGTCTCTTCAAGTGATGGTAAGTGACATACTAGGTAGCCATATGCAGAAGACGAAGTTAGACCCCTGTCTTATCCTACATTAAGTTTTAAAAAAATATATCAAATCAACCCAATATGGCTTGAACACAGGATCTAAGACTGTAAAAAACTCTGTGTGTGTGTTTGTGTGTGTGCGTGATATGCTGCAGATCAAACCCAGTGCCTCAATCATGCAAGGCAAATGCTGTTATAAATATTTATATGCATGCATATGTATTGATGTTTCTCTACTTTTGTATGAGATTTTTAATGCTGATTATAGATGATTTTGGTACATACTCATTGTATGCACTGTAGCACTGTCCTCCTGTTCTTCCTCGATTTGCTCAAGCGGGCCCAGTAACGTCTCCATTGTGAGACTTGTTGTTACTGTGTTTGGCATATCGAATACATCTCGGGTAGCTTGCCAGGCTCTGCCGTGCGGGCGAGATACTCTCGGTAGCTTGCCAGGCACTCTGAGAGGGGCAGAGGAATCGAACCCGGGTTGGCCTGGTCAGCCGTGTGCAAGGCAAACGCCCTACCCACTGTGCTATCACTCCAGCCCCATTATATGCACAAAATCATAATTATATAGATGAACATGTGAGAATTAAAAGCTTTCAGTTCATAATCAATATCATATATTCTTTATACATAAATATATCTTTGTTTTCTTTTAAATTGCATATGATTAAATAAAATATTTTATGTAAGGTGCCATACACATTTCTCTACACTCCTACTATGTTTTCTTTGATATTATTTCAGTGGTGCTGATTGATTCATTAGACTCCGTTGGAGAGACCAACTTGGCTGAAGATAAAGCAACGACTGAGCCCCTGACCCTGCCAGAAATAACTGGGAATGGAATGGTAGGAACAGGTAAAGTGTTTGCAAGAGTCTATTCTTGTATATATGTATGTATGTACGTATGTATGTATGAAGTTCTGTGTTAAATTCCTGGCGCTACAAAAAAAAAAACAAAAACAAGTTTAACAAACAATAGCAATCTCTCTAGTGTTTATTATTGTTATTTTTCCATCTTTTGAAATTTAATATCCTGAAGCTATATGCAAGTATTTATTGACTCTGGGGTGTTAGATTCACATAGTATTTCGAAAATAAGTATAAACTCTTCATATAAACATTTTAACATGGTTCAATGACTGAAATGATCAGTTGGTTTTTGTTTTATTCCGTTTTTCAGTTTGGGAGCCGTGCACGGTAGTGTTCACGGGCTACTCTTGGCTCTGCGCTTACAGGACTGTATGTCCTGCAGAGGATCCAGGGTCCATAAGAAGCAGCTGTAGGTGAGGCAGGCGCCTTACCTCCTGTGCTCTCTGGCCCACTGTTTTTGTTACAAGGGCCACAACCCTCCAATCCTCTGGAACCCAAGGCCCTACCTGGCAGCAGGGCTTGGGCCAGTGTTGCCCAGGGACCATCTGCCAGTGCTCGGGGACCATGCAGTGCCAGAGACGGAACTCAGGGCCTTGTACCTGGGCGTGCGCTGTCTTGAGCTGTCTCCCCAATCCTTTGTTGTTTTGTTTTGTTTTGTTTTTGCCAGGTTTCTTCTGGTATTTTGCAGATTCATATGTGTGATGCCTTGTCAAGGATCACTTGTTTTAAAATATTGGACTGGAGAGGTAGTACAGCAGATAGTGTGCTTGCCTTCATGCAGCCAACGGGCTTTGATCGTGGGCACCCGACATGGTCCCTGAGTTCCAACAGGAGTAATTTCTGAGCACAGAGCCAAGATGAAGCCCTGAGCACAGCTGGGTATGACCCCAAAGCCAACCAGCATGTCTGTGTATTACATATGTAATACATACTTTTATAGAGAGAGAAATTCTTTGTGCTTTCTTTCACGTAATGAACTTGATCATTTTTAAAATGACGTTTTTCCTATCAGTCAAGATCTTGCCTTTTATTTGGATATGTTAGATCACAAGCGAGTATATCAATATTTTTTGGGGGGGATATGGCTACATGAGTAGCACAGTTGGTCTATGCTATATGTGATTTACTCATACAAAATAGTCCAACTCTCTGTTAACATACAAAAATTGGGATATGCACAAAAGACTGATTTGGTCATCATATGCATATGAGTAATAGTTAAAAGCCAAAGGTCTTAGTGGAATTAGCCAGGTCGAAAGCAAATGGTAAGTTTAAAAGGAGGGTGAAAGTCATGGCTTTGAGATGAGCCCCTGACCAAGAAAGATCAACTAGTAGCCATCAGAGTGGTGAAGGAGGAGATGCAGAGGACAGTTCCCAGGTCTAGCTCAGTGCCCAATTCCTCATAATATTGAAGAAAATTAGCCATGGCTAGATTTGCTCATAAGGAAATTCTTTTGGTCCCATGCTGAATTGCAAAGGTTGCAGAGTGAAATGCAGACCACCAGGTGCTTAGTGGCATAGGGAAGCAGAGAACGAGAGAAAGGAAAGAGGGAGTGACTGATAGTTACTGGTAGTGATAAAGGAGAGACTGAGTCTTTGAAAGGGCTAGTCAGATTGGACAATTCTAGAGAAGTTTTCACGTGTAGAATAAGAGTAACAGGTTGTGATCGGGAATGTGGCTTAGCCCTAAGCCCATGTGTTGCACGTGTGAAGTCCTGGAAGTCCTGGGTCCAATTCCCAGCACCATTAAGAAAGGGGGAAAAAAGGAGCAAGTAGTAGGAAAAGGAGGTTATAACAAATGAAGTCAAAATGCAAAGCTATCACAGCAGAGTATACCTAAACGATGCAAAGTTCTATAATCATTTAACCTGCTCTTTGAGTTTCACACTGGATCTATTGCCAAGAATTTTATTTAAGCATGGCTTTTTTTTGTCCTCCCTTCTTATTGACCCTAACAGATGGTTCTGAAGTTTTGTATTTCTCTTGTTCTTGCATGATCATGTGAGGGATGACATTTATTTTCAACAGCTCTTTCGTATGGACAGAGCAATAGCGACATTGAAGCTCTCCATCAGGCTTATCATCACGTAGCCCACTCTTTGGGAGACGGAGGGGAGGAAGGAATTGGAAGCCCCAAGATGGGAAATATCAAGAGCTTAGTGAAAGAGCATTCTCAAGAAAACGAAGAGTCCTCCAAAAACCTCTCCACTACAGAATCTGGTAAAAGCCGATTTCCTTGAAACCGCTGGGACAGTTTCCATGCTATCTGCACAGCCGGGAGGTCGCTCAGGAGTGGATTGGCAGGCCGTGCTTGCATAGGGAGCAGCAGTCCATCCCTACCCCACATGTCGATAGTCCCTCCCCACAAGCATTGATCGGTGTAGCCCTGGCACCCTCAGGCACCCCGGGTGCCAGCAGCTCCTAGCATTGGCCAAGTGTAGCCACAAGTGGCCCCTGGCACCTTCTGAACACTGCTTTCGAGGCCTCCGAAATAAATGAGTACAATTTTCTGCAGTAATTTTTCAATCTCTGAATGATATATGGGACTGGAGTGATAGCACAACGGTAGGGCATTTGCCTTGCATGCAGCCAACCCAGCCGAGCCAGGTTCGATTCCTCCGCCCCTCTCGGAGAGCCCGGCAAGCTACCGAGAGCATTCAGTATGCCAAACACAGTGACAAGAAGTCTCACAATGGAGACGTTACTGGGCCCGCTCGAGCAAATCGATGAACAACCGAAGGATGAGGAAGGAGAGGCTGATTATATCATGACCGTGAATGATATAAAGGGTTTGTTCAAATGAAACCTGGAAGTTATTGGCTGATCCGTAAATTTAGAACCAAATATGTAGGGTAAGATTTTAGTTCTTCTTCCAGTATACCTTAACCAAATAAAAAAATCATTTTATGATTGTCTGAAGAGAGTTGAGCAGCTACTTGCCGTGCATACAGCGAACCCTGGTTTGATCCCTAGCACTGAATATGGTCTTCCAGGCACTGTAAGAAGTGAACCTTGAATGCAGAGCTAGGATTAAGCTCTGACCACTGCCAGAGCACCCCCCGATTTTTTTTTCACGTTTTTAATCTTTCCCTTGTTCATCTGTTATAATCATTTTAACAATAGAGAGTCGTGGGGCCAGTTCTAGGGCACATGCCTTGCATACATGAGACCTGAGTTCAGTCAGGGGGGGTCGGGAAGAGGGAGTTAAGGAGGGAGGAGGTGGAGGAGGGAGAGGAGGATTAGAGGGCACTGTGGGATCAAGAACATGTTTAGCAGATCTGTACACATATTTGATGTTTATGTACATATATTGAAAGTACAGGCGATCATTTTTGTCTTCCTTCATTGTGGCAGCCTCGTTCGGCCTTGAGATTTTATCGGCCTCTCCTTCCTCATCCTTCTCAATGCTGCCATATTGGTGACGCCTTCAGGGTCAGGGGAATGAGACCCATTGTAATTACTGGTTTTGTCATATCGAATACACTACGGATAGCTTGCCAGGCTCTGCCGTGCGGGCGGGATACTCTCAGTAGCTTGCCAGGGTCTCCGAGAGGGATAGAGGCTTTTGGGGCAGCCTCTAATCGCCCTTGTAGGTGTTCCCATGGTTCAAACCAAATTTGAATCCTATCAAATATGGTATGGCAATTCTGGAAGATGGGTATTTAGTGTTTTATAATGTGTCGCAGCAGTGTGGTCCGGAAAGCGTCCTGGAGCGTGGCGGCGGCTGGGTAGTGGAGGTAGTGAAGGTATATATATATGCATATATATACCTATGTGTATTTACATGTGTATATGCATTTTTCTTCATATAGGAAAATTTTACAGACCGAAACTGAGTTTGTTATATTTTTTATTTTGTTGATTATGTTAGTCAGAGAAAATTAATTTTGATGGTATTAGGGATTCGATTAAGCAATTTACAAGATGTTTTTGTTTGCTCTTTTGAAATTTTTCCCCTTAGATCTGCCAACAGTGGAGGAGCTGATGAGACCTATCAGAATAGATTCCCTTGGTGTCAGTCATTTTGACTTCAAACCTGTCAGGTATGCATTTTGGTTGATTGTGTGTTTTTCGTAATGAATTGTGTATGTTGCATATTTATTTCAGGTTATTTTTTTTTAATGTTACAGTTTTAGGTCATGTGATTCATGAGTTTAGCATCATGTTAACAGTATCGTTCCCAGAGAATGATTAATGGGTACTATGTCTGAGGCTACTAGTTAGTCACTGCTCACTCCTTTTTACTCAGTTCATCAAAATTCTTCCGTGCTAAATTTTGTTAAAAGGCTACTAAAAACATGGCTTGTTAGTTTTTAAAAGAACTTTTTAGTTTTAAAAAAAAAGCTAGGTCGTCTTAAGGCTCTTCACTGAAAAATACAAGCCCTTCCCAAAGCTTTAAATAGTCCAGGGACAGTTGCTTTAAATACGAAGAAAGAACATCAGTTTTGTTCTGTGCATGAGTCAGAGACTTGCCTCTTATAAACCAGTAAGTTTTGTACTCAGCCACAGGCTGTCTTCTTATGAGTGCGTCTTTTGGTCACAACAGAAACAGGCTCGTGAAAGTCTTTCAGCGGCATTTCATTTTAGTGTGGGATCCAGCTCTCATCCCAGCCAGAGTAGCACATCGCCATACACTTGTCCCGGGACAGTATGGGTTTGTGAAGAGATTACAGTGACACAGACATTATCTCATGAGCTCTTCACAACAGACAAGACACGTGTGTTTATCTCCATCATTCAAGATGATATGAAGGCAAACCCTGTTTCATGATGGGGCTCACAAGAGCCGATGATGATGTTGGTGGCTACCATTCTTCTCATACTGAGTGGAGGCCAAGTATTGTGCAAAGTTCTTTACATACACTGCTTCATTTAATCTTGCATCAGCTTGGTGAGGCATACTGCATTTCATCCCCATTTCTCACTTGGAAATCTTTGCAATGTCCGTTTATCTTCAAGTTGTGGATTTTCCTTAATTAGATCCTGATTGTACTAACTTCCTTATTAATATGTTGTTCCATATAACTCCTAGTTCCAGTTCCTCAAGTTTTTCTTCTTGTTATCATAAGTAAGGGTCCATCTTGGAGGATGCACTCTTTCTTCGTCTACTTCCGCCCACTGTCTTTTTAAAAAATACATAGTCAGAGTTCCATTGTCATCTTAAACTATTCCAAAAGCTCTGAGGCTTCGGAAATGATTGGTTCCAATTAATTCCGGGAACTATACTCAAAGTTCTTTGCTAGACAAGGTTTTAAATCTGTTTTATGACTTTTCTTCCTTGCTTTCTCCTCTCTGTTTCTTCTCTCAGTTTAATTACTGATATCTGGATCTTGTTGAGAACAGTAACTTGAAATATGAGGATGGCACCTTTCATCTTTGCCAAGGGACTGTTTTGCTTTTTTTTCCACTAGGAAATTTCATGAAATCATCATTCATATTGCCTCTTTCAGTGCCAAATCTTACTGTTTCGGTCTAGATATCAATTGGAGCCCATATATTTCTAGACCCTTTCAACAATATGTTCCTTTTGATTTCCTTATACTCCGTTCCCTTTGATACAGGAACCAGTATGTTTTGTCTTCAGTTCGTCCTTCTAAAAATGTTGTCAGAAGTAGTCAGGAGTAGTTCGCGATTAAAAACTCCCTGTTCTCGTCTGGTATTTCTCTTAGCTGCCAATTCAGCAAATGCTTTGAAAATGTTGGGGGGCTGGGGGAGTGAAGGCTGCTATCTCCTGCTTCTATATCAGTTCCTTCCCACCCAGAACCACTGAGTCGGCCACACATATTTTAAGTTCTTGTCACCATAGCACACATTCTAAAACCAGTCACTATGACCACCTCTCTATGCAGTGGCAAGGAAATGCAGTTCAGTTTGTACTCAGCAAGAACAGAAAATCTTGGATGAACATCTGGCCATCTTTTACTTCCAGGAAGAAGGAAATCATATTTCTTGATGATTCTCACGACTTAGGAAGCTTCTAACAGTTGCTGCAAGACAGATTTACCATATAAGAAAATGGTAGTCTTTTAAACTTTAGTTTTACTTTGAAAGTTACAGAACTAACTGAACTAGTTGACAGTGGTTAATATGAAAATGACATTGTATTTTTGAAACTTACGTAGGACATGTTGATATCCAACCAGACTTAAATTTTTTTAAGGGATATTATCCACATTTTTAAATCTTAGTGGTATAAAATATTATATTTGAATTCTAAACCACAAAAATGGCTTTTTAAAAGGACTAGTGGTTTCTGTTTTAAATTTTTTCTCATACTTCAACAAAATATATACTAAAATGTAAAATAAAGTATCAGTATTTATACTTTGTGTCTGATTGGCATAAATTATGTTTACTTTCTTAGTATCTTCTAGAAATGTTTCTCCCGCCTCAAATTCATGTGATTTTGTAAGATATTGCATATGAAAGTATAAAAATTACTGACTTTTTTCTTATACAAAAGCAATCTCAGTCTCATTTGTAATTTTGAAATAAGTCTCAAGTCTTTCACTTAATTCTTTGCATTATACTACCTGAACTGGAGCGATAGTACAGTGGTAGGGCATTTGCTTTGCGTGCAGCCAGCCCAGCCGAGACGGGTTCGATTCCTCCGCCCCTCTCGGAGAGCCCGGCAAGCTACCGAGAGTATCCCACCCTCACGGCAAAGCCTGGCAAGCTATCCGTGATGTATTCAATATGCCAAACACAGTAACAAGAGTCTCAAAATGGAGACGTTACTGGGCCCGCTCGAGCAAAATCGATGAACAACGGGAGGACAGTGTTGGCAGTTGACAGAAAGTGCTTGAAAATTATCTTAAATTTAAAACAATTGGATCACACCATGAACATACTTTTGTGAGTCAAAGTCAAAAATAATGTTTTTGATATTATTGACCTGGTTTTCATAGTAACAAATATGTACGTGCACAGTTATGTACGTGTACTTATGTCGTGTGTAGGTATGTGTATGTATGAAATATATTAAAGCAAGATGAGAGCAATGATATCCTGGATGGGGAATGCACTTGCTTTGCATGTGGTTGACCTGTGTTTAGTCCCCAACCTCACATCTGGTCTCCTGAGCCCCACTAGGCACGATCCCTGAGCACAGAGCCAGGAGTCAGCCCTGAGTGCTGCCAGGTGTTACTCCAAAACAAATACATATTAAATGTGTCATATAGGGTCTACTATTCTCTTTGTTGTTTTGTTTCACAGCTATAAGAAACTGGCTGGTAGTCAAGAAACTGAATTCATGAGCCCTTTCCCACGGGAGGTGACCCAAAATCTTATGTCTCAAGAGCCGCAGAATGTAAATCAATTTCCTCATAGAACTGAAGAGCGTGTGGTTTTGCAAAGGGCAACCAATGAGGATAAAGAAAATAGCGGTCCAGGAGTAAGCACTATGGAAGAATGTATCGATAAAACCTGTCTTGATATTTTGAGGAAAAAAATATCTGTTGCTCCTTCATTATTACCTCAGGACAGCAAAGTAAATAAAGTAAGTGTTTGTAATCTAAATTTCCTTGACTTGATTCATGAAGTTATAGAAGTACTGTTGGTCCGTATGCAAACTAATTAGCTTAATCTTAGGGAACAGTTTCAAAATCTATGCTCCCTTATTGTCTTCCATTTTCATTGTGGTTATATAGTTTGCTTGCTTTTATTCCTGACTTGGAAGACAAGCTTAACATATTAAAATTCTAAAAAATAAAAATAATTAAAATAAAATAAAATATTAAAATTCTGATGAATTACATTTAGAGAACTTTGGATTGGCCTAAACCAACTGGAGGTTGGCCCTCTGCTGTCCACATTATTTAAAAATCACAGTGTTTTTGCCATCTTTTAAATCCCCATTGAAACTGTGTATGAAGTTCATCTAAATACTGAGTAGTTTGTATTTGTACACAGACTTTGAAATCGCAACTCAGTTCTGAAGAAGGCACTGCAGCTGATAAACAGGTACCATACAAGAAGGCCAGAAGTGCACCTCCTTTGCTTAAAAGGAAACCTCAGAGTGGATTATATGCGTCCGTAAGAAGCTCAGGCTATGGCAAACCCAGTTCGCCGTTCAAGACGTTCTCTACTCTTGAAAAGAAAACCTCAAAGGATATTATGAAGAGCAAAAACTTGAGATCCATTTCCACCTCAAATCAAGCTAGGAAAAAAGGTAGCCCTCTTTCCTTTTCATAATAAAAGCCCGTACATATAGTGCATTATTTTATTTTACCTGTTTTCTTCTTTCCTGTGAACTTTCCTTATTGGTATAAAAGAATTTCTCTTAAGGTACTATATTACATTTCTGAAAAATTCCTTTTCATCGTTAATTCTAGTTAATTAATTGAATGAGGCCTACAGAAAAATCAGGAAATGATTATAGGAGAATCAGACTCCTTTGTTTTCTGGTTAGCTTTGTAGTATCTAAAACATTTATCAGAGAAAATCTATAAATTCAGAATACAAATGGCAACTTACAAATGTAGACTAATATGGATATTCACTGTCACTGCCCTCCTGTTGTTCATCGATTTGCTCGAGTGGGCCCAGTAATAACATTGTGAGACTTGTTGTTACTGTGTTTGGCAAATCGAATATACCGTGGGTAGCTTGCCAGGCTCTGCCGTGCGGGCGAGATACTCTTGGTAGCTTGCCGGGCTCTCAGAGAGGGATGGAGGACTTGAAGGCAGAGGAATTGAACTCAGGTCGGCCGCATGCAAAGCAAACGCCCTACCCGCTGTGTTAATCGCTCCAGCCCATATGGCTATTACTTGGATATTATATGTTTGAAAACATATAGATAGTATATGTTTGGAAATACACTGTTTTCTGTTCATATCTGCATAGTTTTATATGTCATAGGACCACGGTTAGTGATTTCCTAATGTACCTATTTATACTGACAGTGGGAAAGGGTCATCTTCAGTTTTGAAGGCCATGCATTATTTTTCAAAAAAAAAAGGAAAGGAAGGAAGGACGGAGAGAAGACAAAAAGAAAGGAAGAGAGAAATGTTCAATTCAGACTAAAGTGGAAAAGAGAGAGCAATGAACCTAATAAAAGGAACAGAGATTGAAACTGTCAGCCACTTCACTTTCTCCTCACGTAGTTCGCTTCATTTTTCTTTGACATGAGTTTGAATCAAGTAGTCACTGTCAAATTGAGTAGGAGACTAATTATGGAAAGCAGTTCTGAGTGTACTGAAACAGCTGTGTTGGTGTGTCACATTCATCAGTATTTTGAGATCGTTTATTTTAGTGTTCCCATTATATTTCTACTTCATGATTACTGAATATATTCAACTTTGCATGTATAGTGCTTTTATCAGTTGTTTACACCTTTTAGAGATCTTCTCTGAAACAAAGCTCATCAAGCCTGCAGCACAGAATAAACCATCCCCTAAAAACGAAGTTTTCCCGACTGTTCCTATGAAGTCTAAAGACAATACCGAAGTCGATTCCTGTGGTCGATTTAAGAATGTACGTATTCAATTTCAGAATAGCATTCATAATTTCATGTCCTAAAATTGACTAAAACTAAAGTATAAATAAGAAATACAGTATATAAAATTTCACTTGCTTTAAGAGTGATATTCTAATCACTTCAAGACATTCTTACTGAACATTCATTGGTTTTCTTATAAAGTAAATTGTTGTTAACCATATCGTTTTTATTCTTTGTTTTACCAGGTGCTTAAATCTTCACTGTGTAAAACCGTTTTAATGAAATGTGTTTTTTCTAAAAAGGATTCTTCAGACTACCAAAGTGGGAATAAGGAAACAGAATTAGTTTTATTTAAAAGAGTCCAGGAAGCAGAGGATAAGTGGAGGGGTGCACAGGCTCTAATTGAACAAATTAAAGTTACATTCTCGGAGAAAGAGAGGGGGCTGGAAGATAAGATGGAAGAACTGAAAAGACAACAGGAAAAGGAACTCTTGAAGCTGAATCAAGAGAATTATATTCTTCAGTCCAAGGTACTGGAACAAATTGTCTGAATTTTTTTCTCTTTTTGATCAAAAGCGTTCTTCCTGTGAAGCACATTGTTATCCTGTTCACCTGTGGCTGTTTGACGTCGTGATTTCGTTGTATAAAAAATGAAAATGCTCCCCAGGAGTCCCTTCTTTATAGTGTGAACTGAAATAATCTCTCTGTGAGGAAATTTTTTTTTAATTTGAATCATTTTGATAATGTTCTACTGATTGTCTTCTCTGGGAAACAATCTTCTAGTACATTGTAACCTTCAGAGAAGACAGTTTCGGAAAGAACTGCTATCGAAAGTCTAGAGTCAGAAAATGACAGTATAGCATACCTGAATGATTTCCATCCTCAGATTCATCAGCTTAAAACAGTATAACGATTTAACTGTGGGTGGTATTGTAATCATTTATTGTGGTTGTAAGACAATTTTAGATCTGTGTTCCCAGAAAAACTCCTGTTATTTTCCTCTCTTTTCGCTTCATTTCTTTATACAAACAAAACAATTGGTTTGTTTTCCCGAAGTTAAATAGCTTTGAAGAGACAAACAGAAAACAGAAGTGGTTACATTTCGAAGCAACTGATTCTATCACTGAGGAAAAATTGAAGCATATCCAAAAAGAAATACAAGAACAAGAGACCCTTCTTCAGGGATATCAACAGGTATGATGATTATTTGACCTTGGGCTTGTTCTGTAAATACTTTATCCAAAAAATTTTTAAATAAAAATACTAACTTTAACAGGCTAGCCTGTATGACAGCACAGCGGGTAGGGTGTTTGCCTTGCACGCGGCCAACCCAGCCAACCCAAGTTCGATTCCTCCACCCCTCTCGGAGAGCCTGGCAAGCTACCAAGAGTATCTTGTCCGCATGGCAAAGCCTGTCAAGTTACCTGTGACGTATTCGATATGCCAAACACAGTAACAAGTCTCAAAATATTACTGGGCCCGCTCAAGCAAATCGATGAACAGTGGGAGGACAGTGCTACAGTGCTACTGAGCCTATGTGAGGAAATGATTTGATTTGTCTTCATATTTTCTCATGAGAAAAAGTAAAGCCTGGATTTCAGATTCAGAGAACTTAGATTTAGTTTTAACTGTGAAACCTTGGGAAAAATCCCTTCCCCTCTTTAAGCCAGAGTCTCCATCTTTGAAATAAGCCTGGTAATAATAACATCTGCCTCGGACGGGAGTTGTAGAATTAAATCAAGACAAAGCAAACCAATCTTTTAGTGCCTGGCACATAGTGAAAGTTGTCTGTTAATATTTTTTAATAGTCACATTCGTTAGAAACTTGTTTTTGTTTAGTTCTTAATTTTTAAAATTGAATTGATGAGCTTGGTGTTTATATTCACAAATCTGAATCTGAAATTAATGTCAAGCCATGGGCGGGAAAGAAACCTGACATACATGAGAAAAAAACAAACCTGTGTGTCCCTAGAAAGCAGACATTTATGATGTGTGATGTGTTATTAGGAATATTCATCTGGCTTGATAACCTGGCAGGCTTACTGTTACATGAAACTTCCTCCTGATTCTTCCCTGCCACTTCCTCCCCAGCTTTTAAACTTCTGTCCTTTCTTTTATTACATTGCCTATTGTTTCTTTTGACAACCAGAGCCAGAGGTTGAAACTCTCAGTTCCAAGTACTTTAACCAGTGACACACAGAGAAGGCGTTAGTACATTGCGATTTAAAATTTACTTTAATGAAACAACCGATTTTGTAGGGCATGTCGCCCAATCCTGCCTGGAGTGACCCCTGAGTTAAGAACCAGAATTAAACCCTGAGCACAGGATGGGTGTGGCCCCCAAACTAAAAAAAAAAATAAATGCAAAAATAATCACCGGCCAAGCACTAGGTCAGACCTGCTGAGAGGTCCAAAGTTATCATTTGATCCTTTTGGTTTTTATCAGATTTTTAAAGAGGTCAAGAAGGTTGGAGTGACAGTAGAGAAGCCCTGCATGCGGCCGACTCAGTTTCCACCCCTGGCATCCCATCTGGTTCCCTGAGCACCACAGAGTGTAATTCTTGAGCAGTGTAAGGCGTGGCCCCAAAAAACTAAAGAAAGAAAGAGAGAGATTAAAAACCCAGAGCAGCTAAAGACACGTTGGTACTTTCTCCATCTCAATGTCACTGTTGGAAGCACTCTCGAGTTCAAACTTGGTGGCGACCTGCATTTCGTTTCTTCTCAGCCTTTTCCTGATATCTTCAGAAATACCCTGTCTAATTCTCTGCTCACAGAATTTTACAAACACGAATAGACAGCCACTATGCCTGCCCCCAGTCACTGTGGAAAGCCAGACAGAAACAGAAAACAAGGGGCTGCCAACTGTTCTGTACTGTGTGGTTCAAGCGGTGCTTGCCAACTCACCGTTGTGAAATACGGTGCATTGTGCTGGCTTTAGGCCCTTCAGCTTGAGGGATTTTTACATCTTTGTTTTTTTATTTTTCTTTCATGTTAGCATTTTGGACATTTGGGAAGAGATTCATTTTCAGATGCTGCATTTTAAAATTCCTGAAAAGTTTAAAACCTCAAAAATGTTTAAAGGATTTATTTTTTGTGACCATATATACATATGTTACGTGTACTATGACTTTTTTTTTTTGATTAGTGAAACACCATGATGTACAGTTGTAGACTTGCAAATTTTTCTGCTTGGATTTCAATTATACAAATGATAAAATGCCCTGCTATGACTTTTAACTACGTTCTCTACTTCTAAAAAGGAAAATGAAAGGTTGTATAAACAAGTGAAAGATCTCCAAGAACAGAACAAGAAGAATGAGGAGCGAATGTTCAAGGAAAACCAGAATTTATTCAGTGAGTTAGCGTCCTTAAAGTAAGTAAGTCCGTTTAAAATCCATAGAACCAAATAAGCTATTCCTGAGCACTAAATGTAATATTAATAATATATATTTATTTTTCAAAATAAATCAGAGAGCAGATGCACAAAAATCATTTCCTGTCTCAAGTAGTTGAAGATTCAGAGCCCACAAGAAACCAGAGTTTCACAGATCTGTTAGCAGAATTACGGTTGGCACAAGTAAGTTTTATAAGGATTTTAATGATTAGTGAAGCTGGGAAGATAGTACAGTGGGTAGGGCAGTTGCCTTACCATGCAGCTGACCGAGGTTCTGTTCTGGAACCCCTTCTGGTCCCACAAACCTTGCCAGGAGTGATTCCCAGTGCAGAGTCAGGGGTGATCACTGAGCACAACCAAGTGTGGGGGGCACATAATCTCAGAACCCTGTTTGTAATAGTAAATCATAATTCTCATATTCCCATGTTTTGTAGTTCATGAGATTTACATTTGTTATAAAAATTAAATACCTCTTAGAAAACAGAATATGGGGGGGAACTTTTCAGATGAATAGCACACCAGAGAATTAGGGGATGAGCTTAAGAAGAGTGTCCTAAGAATTATTGGAGACTCCAAGGAACAAGAAAGTACTCTTGATGAAGAATCATTAGTCAGGAAAAAATTATAGCTGAAAAGTTCCCAGAGCTAAGGAGTGTATGCACCCAGATGTAAAAGGCCTGAAGGGATCCCAGCCAAAAGAGACCCAAAACCAAAATTTGAAAAATATAAGACACGTTGTGGTGAAAGATTTACAACAGATTTATCAAGTGCTTCTCTACAGGCCAAAAAAAAAATGATGGGATATAGTTTAAAAAAAAAAGTGCACACAATGTTATGAACACCTCACCAAGAATACTCTACCCGCTAGCCTGTGATTCAGATTTGAAGGATAGACAGAGAACTTCATGGATAAGTAACAGCTCTAACTTCATAGCCTTGAAAGGGACTACTTTAAGATAAAGACAAATCTCACAAACATAATTTCTACAGAATGGTAGCAAAAAAAAAAAAAAACTCATGTCGATAAATTTTCTTACCGCTTATTTAACAATGGGTTGATATCCAAGATGTATAAAGCACTGGCAGAATTTTATAAGCGAGACTTTATCATTTATCATCAAAGAAACACAAATTGAAAACAATAACTAATCACCTCACACCAATGAGACAGGGACATATCAAAAAGAACAGATCCGTATTGGCAGGGATGTGGGGGAAAAGGACCCTCATACACTGCTGGTGGGAATATTGTCTAACCTTTTGGGAAAATCATGTGAACATTTCCCAGAAAACTGGGAATTGAGCTTTCATGTGGCCCAGAAGTTTTCTTTCTTGGCATCCATCCTTAGGGCCCAGACACTTTATTTAGAAAAGATGCTTGCATCCTTATGTTCATTTCAGCACAGAATTCACAATCACAAAAAATCTGGAAATAACTCGGTGTCCAAGAACAGATGACCAGATAAAGAAACTGTGGTACATGTACACAGTGAAATATTCCTCCACCATGAGAAAAGGCAAAGGCATGCAATTCTCTGCTACGTGTATGGATCCGAGGATCGTCACGCTGAGTGAAGTCAGCCAGAAGGAAGGGACAGACACAGAATGCTCGCTTGCCTACCTGGATTTTCAAGAAGCACAGTAGGGAAAGAACAGGGATCCAAAGGTGACAGACTGAGAGCTGGTCTTACGTAGAAAGCGCATTGCGTGGAGGAGGGGGAATAGGACGAGGGAGTACATTGAGACGACAGTGGAGGGTAGCAGTCTGCTAGAATTTGTGGTGCCAGCATGTTTTACGCATGAAACTCTATCATTAAACCACAGTGATATATATATGTATGTATGTATCATATGTGGGCTGGAGCGATAGCACAGCGGTAGGGCGTTTGCCTTGCTTGCAGCCAGCCCGGCTGGGCGGGGTTCGATTCCTCCGTCCCTCTTGGAGAGCCTGGCAAGCTACCGAGAGTATCTTGCCCGCACGGCAAAGCCTGGCAAGTTACCCGTGACATATTCAATATGCCAAACACAGTAACAACAAGTCTCATGATGGAGACATTACTGGGCCCGCTCGAGCAAATCGATGAACAACGGAAGGACCGTGACCGTGATCTTATATATACAGATATATGTACACACAGAAACGCAGGCAACAATAAAAATACATACCATTACTGTCACTGTCCTCCGTTGTTCATGGATTTGCTCAAGCGGGCCCAGTAACATCTCCATTTTGTGACTTGTTCTTATTGTGTTTGGCATATTGAATACATCACGGGTAGCTTGCCAGACTTTGCCATGTGGACGAGATACTCTCGGTAGCTTGCCGGGCTCTCCAAGAGGGGCGGAGGAATGGAACCAGGCTTGGCCGGACTGGCTGCACGCAAGGCAAACGCCCTACCGCTGTGCTATCGCTCCAGCCCACATACCATTAAATGAGAGAAAATGTTTGTATTTCAGATATCTGATAAAGACCTATGTCTAAAGCACTTAGAAAGTTCAACAAAAACAAACCAAAAAAAAAACCTGTCAAAATATAGAAAGAGGAGATAAACACTTAGAAGAAGACAGATGAATAAGCCTATGAAAAATTGCTTGTTTTTCATAATTTAGAAATATAAATCAAAATGATGATGAAATACCACCTCATACCAGTGACAAAGGCCTGTATAAAAAATACAAATAGAACCAGGAGATAGTACTCCGGTTTGATTCTTGGTACCACATGGTCCTCTGTGCATTGATGGGTATGATCCGGAGGCCTTCAGCACTGAGATGTAACCTCAGTCTCCCCAGCACCTCAGGATCCAAGCCACACTACACCTCAGACCCTGTAATTGATCTGCCAACATGGTTAGATGAAAAACGTAAAAAAAAAAAAAAAAAAAAAAAAAAAACAAAGACAGAAAAGCATAATCAACCAGTGTTCACCAGCAGGCAATGAAGAGGAACTAATCTGCTCTTGATTTTAATTGTCATCAGGTGCAGCCTTTATAGAAAACATGGAGACTTGTCAAAAAATTTAAAATGAAACTGCAATATGATCCAACAAGTCTACTTGGCATTTGTCCCCCAAGTACAAAAATACTGACTCAAAAGATAAGTGCACACTTAACGTTGTTACAGCTATGTTTGCAATAGCAAAGATATGGAAACGTGCCAGGTATCCAGTTCATATGAGTGAGAAAAGAAAAAAGAAATTGTGATACATACATACACAATGGAATGCCACCCAGCTGTAAGAAAAAGTGCGATTCTGTTTATTGGTACAAGTTGGATAGGCCTAGAATTGGGCGTGTTTAGAGAAATACCTCAGAGGAAAGAAAAATAGTGGATGATCTTACTCAGATGCATTATTCAAAGGACGACAGTGAGGGAATAGATAGGACAACCAATTCCTGGACTCTGAATCAAGAGAGAAGTGAGGTCATCAAGGGTGGAGGAGGGTAGTGCTGGAAGGAAGAGGTGGGCTGGAGTGACCCTGGACAGTGGGGAAGGGTCTTGGGCACTCTTCTAGTGGTAGTAGAGGAGCAGTGATCATGTATACCATAATCATGTACTCTATCACTCATGTAACCATATTGCCTCCACTCCAATAAAAACCAGTAATGGGGGCCTGAGACCTAGTGCAAGGCTGTAAGGCACTTGCTTTGCGCATATCCAACCCTGGTTCCATTCCCATGTGGTCCCTTGAGCCAAAAAGGCCAGGAATAAGCCTGAGAACAGACAGACATGGCCCCCGAAAAAAAAATCGCAGTTTTATATTGTCATTACAATCATATGTAATGTTTTTCACTACAAAATCAAGCATTGTGCTAGATTTATATCTTTCCTTCTGTAGTATTCTTGGAACACAGATCAAAAAGTTAAGTCAAACCATATGAACCGACCTCTTTTTTGTACTTTAAAACAGTCAAGTAAAGGCAATTTCCCGTGGTTCAACCTGATCTATAGATGGATGTAATAAACATCTATGAACTTCCCCCCAATTTAATAAACACTGGTCCATTAAAAAAAAAGCTTTATTTTGAAACTTTACCAGATGTACTACCATGAGTTCATGATTTTTTTCACTGCTTTGGAGTTTAGTTCAACGCGCATTTATAGAGTACCTGCCATGTGCTTAGTGCTATAAACAGAACTGAATCAGTCTCATTCTCTATAGAGGCTTTTAACCTACAAAAAAGTCATCTACAGAAATCAATGTCATATGAAACAGAAAGTAATAAATGCAGCATAGAGGTACAATGAAAATGTGTACCCCAATGGAAGCATAGGAGGGGATTTTTCAGGGATATCCTCAGTTGAACTATGCTTTGAGGAACAAAATTTTCATCAAGGACAGGAATGGGAGTTTTGAGAGTGCTGTGAAATGTAGAGCATTTAAATAATTTAGTGGTTTTTTATTTTCCCCATGTGCCAAGCATTTAGCGTTTATGATGATAGGATTGGCAAGATAAAACCTTGCTTTCAAGGAAATGTCTCATGCCAGGAGGTATTGAGTGTTGAGACAAGAAAGTAAAATGAGTCATGGGTTTCAAGGGGGATGGGGGAAAGGACATCATGGTATTACGGATTTAGAGTGCCTGGCTCTACCTGGGCAGAGTCCCGAGGGAGAGGAAACACTCAGTGCAAACACCTTGGGGGAAGAGTGTACTGGACGTTCTTGGAGAACAGCTAGAAGATCTCTTGCCAGAGCGGAGCGGGAAGAGGGATGTTCCTAGGAGCTGGGATCAGAGACACGGGCACGGCTGGGTTCTGTGATGGCGAAGGTGATGGTTCAAGGACTGGGCTACTCAGAGGAATCTCGGGCAGATACGCAATACTGTCTTTTCAGAATAGTTTCCGGCCGCTGAGAGGAGAGCTGGGTGGAAAAACTGCTGGTTTTCGGGAGATTCCTGCAGTCAGTATTCCAGAAGTTAAAACAAATCAGAACTGGGGGTCCTCGGTTCTAAGGGGCTTGAAAAAAATTAGAAGTCTCTTATAGACCAAACATGATTGTCACTCAATGCCTCTTTTGCAAACCACAGCACCCAAAAGGAGAGAGAGAACAAAAGGGAGTGCCCTTCCACAGAGGCAGGGGGGGATGGGGGGATGGGGGGTGAGAAGGATACTGGGACTGGTGGTGGTGGGAAATGGGCACTGGTGGAGGGATGGGTACTCCATCATTGTATAACTGAAACCCAAGCACAAAAATTTGTAAGTCTACAACTGTACCTCATGGTCTCTCACTAATAAAAATTAAAAAAAAAAATTAGAAGTCGTTAAGGTTGTGGGTAAAACGATTAGAAATGATTCTCGGTGGGCTTTGTTGTAGGTAATAGGAGCTATTCATAATCCCAAAGGGATGAATTGTAAAGTGATAGCAAATAGGGGGGGAAAAGCCATAGTATCTGTGATTGATTGGGTAAAAGATTATCCCCTCGTTTGTGGTTCGTATGACATTTTTATTCCTTTGAATATTTTAAGAAAGAGAAAAGCAGCCTTTTGGAAGACATCAAAAGACTGAAGCAAGACAAACAGGCTCTTGAAGTCGACTTGGAGAAAATGAAGAAAGAGCGAGATCAAGCCAAAGATCAGATTGCGTATGCCACAGGTGAAACACTGACTTGTAGCAGTTCACCTTTATACTTGTGATTGTTTTAATCTTGAACTTCATGCTTGAAGTTTATCTTCAGAAATATTTTAAAATCTTGGTTATTAAGATACATGTGCATTTAATTCATTGTTGAGGGGAGTGATCAGATAACAGTAATACCAACAGTAAACTGGGTTTGTGCTGTTTTATTTTAAATTGAATTTATTTTACATGTCTGTGATCCCAGCTAGACTGAGATGTTTCTCAAGTCCTGGCCTATCGAATCCTTTGCTCTCAAGTATTTGCCGAATGAATGAATACATCGTACTGTGTGGAAAACAAAAGATACATATGGCATTCCCTCAACAGGGAAAACAAAGGAAAGATAAAAATGCAGAAAAGTTTTAATTTTTTTAAAAAAAATTTTTTTAAGGGACTGGAGCGATAACACAGCTAGTAGGGCATTTGCCTTGCATGCGGCTGACCCTGGTTTGATTCCCAGCATCCCAAATGGTCCTCTGAGCACTGCCAGGAGTAATTCCTGAGTGCAGAGCCAGGAGTAACCCCTGAGCATCGCCAGGGGTTACTTGTGACCCAAAAAGAAAAAAAAATTTTTTTAAATACAAGTAAACATGAGATAGTGCTGATAAGTGCTGGGGGGGAGGAGTGGCGTTTAGGGCTGGCTGTTGCCAAATGGTAAGATTAGAGAAACAGGGATAGAGGGAAGAAGGTTACTATGTAGGTTTTGTGAACTTGTTATGAATTGTACCAGCTTTAGAGAGTTGGATGGTAGGACACAGGGCAGGGGTTCCTTTCAGCCAAATTATGGACCTTTTCTCTGTAACATTATCACCAGCATAAAACATGCACAATAAAATTGATGTCAGGGGCTGGAGCAATAGCACAGCGGGCAGGGTGTTTGCCTTGCACGCAGCCGACCTAGGTTCGATTCCCAGCATCCCATATGGTCCCCCGAGCACCGCCAGGAGTAATTCCTGAGTGCAGAGCCAGGAGTAACCCCTGTGCATCGCTGGGTGTGACCCAAAAAGCAAAAAAAAAGAAAAAAAATCGATGTCAGCTTTCTCCTCTCTAGAGAAGCCCGTGTCCTTTCTTGAATAAATATTTTTCTCTCCCCTCATATTTCTCTAAATTATTTTACTTAAAAGAGTAAAAATCAAAATAATAAAATCCATTCCTGCGTGTTAATTAGAAAATGACAGTTGCTTCCCTCATCTGCAAAATAGAACATTAACATTCATCGTACAAGTCACTATCTTTGGTAAGCTTACGATTTGACACCATTCCCCTTTTTTTTGTTTTTGCTTTAGTTGGGGGTTTTGGCTTGGTGTTGCCGTTGTTGATTTTGAGCCATATCCAGGAACAGCGAGAGGCTACTCCTGACAAGGTGCTCACAGATCACCACTGGAGGTGCTTAGTTAGGGGACCAGGTAGCACCAGGAACTGACTCTGGGCCTTCCATGTTTGTGCGAAGCTTACACTCCAGTCAGTCCTCTGAGTTGTCTCCAGGCCTTCCCCATCAGTACTTTGCAAAATGCTTGTAAGCATCCTTCTTTTTTATCTCTTACCTCAGACATCTTCCCATGAAAAGAACTTTACTTTTGTCATGGAAGTAAGTGCAAAAGATGTTTTTTTTTTTTTAACCTGATGATGTAGGGGCTGGAGCAATAGCACAGCGGGTAGGGCGTTTGCCTTGCATGTGGCCGAGCTGAGTTCAATCTCTGGCATCCCATATGGTCCCCTCAGCACCTCCAGGAGTAATTCCTGAGCGCAGAGTCAGGAGTAACCCCTGTGCATTGCCGGGTGTCACCCAAAAAGCAAAGAAACGAAAAAAACTGATGATGTAAAGATTTCTACATAGTATTGCTGTAAGTGCAAGGATTTCCAGTTTTTGCCTTCTTTTACTAGTAGATGGAAGAAGACAGTGCCCTATACTTGTCAGCTGGTTTTTCATATTTTTTCCATAATACTTCTGTGACGAAGGGCCTTAATCTGAAAATCTGAGGTTACTTTATTTCCACATTTTGAAAAATCACTATCAGTTTATTGAGTTACTTTACTTTTTAGGTGAAAAGTTATATGAAATAAAGATCTTAGAAGACACACATAAACAAGAAGTTGCCCGTCTGCAAAAAAGATTGCAGTGGTATGCTGAAAACCAGGAGCTTCTGGATAAAGATGCAGTTCGGCTTAAAGAAGCACATGAAGAAATTGAGAAGCTCAAACTTGAGGTAACAAGTCATTTCAAAATGTACTTCTGAAGATGAACACGGTTTTTTTTCAAAAATGAATTTTACTCGCCCTTGTATTATTTAATTAATACTCTAAACGTCATTAAATAAAATGATTGGGTTTCATTTTTATTTGCTTTCAGTATGCAGTCTATTTTAGATTAGACTGAGCTTGATTTTTTTAGAGTAAACTAAACCCAAACCTCCTGATCCGGACATGTTAAGTCCCTAGATAGGTGGTACTCTGCCTGTCTCTACAGCTCCCTTTGGTACTACACCCCGCAAGACTCTCTCTTCAAGCTCACCACATTCCCCTCTGATTCTTAAATGTGTTGTCTTTGTCGGAAATCTTCTGGCTGCAGTTCTTCCCAGATCTTGCTCTTTGGAATTTCGACCATAATTTTTCTCTGAATGCCCTTTTCAGACGTGGCTGCCATTCCTCCTCCTTCCGACTCTTCCTCCCTGTTCCCTGACTGTGTCATTTCCTTTAAAGAACCTGTCACTTCTGAAAGTTATTTACTTACAGAGAGATAGCACAGCGGGTAGGGCGTTTGCCTTGCGACCTGGGTTCGATTCCTCCGCCCCTCTTGGAGAGCCCCGCAAGTCCCTGAGAGTATCTCCCCCCACTCGGCAAAGCCTGACAAGCTCCCCGTGACGCATTCAATATGCCAAACACAGTAACAAGTGTCACAATGGAGACGTTACTGGGCCCGCTCGAGCAAATCGATGGAGAACAGGACAGCGACAGTGATAAAAACTTAACAACTGAGTAATTCACTAAAGCATAAGCTTCCCGAGAGTAGGGACCTCACTTGTCTTGTCTGTCTGCCCTATCTCCAGTACAGTGCAATAACCAGAATTGTAAATGAATGAATAAACAAACATCTGCTTCCTTCCTGAAACTCGTCTGCATTTAAACAAGCTTCTGCCCTTTAGTGCTGGGAATCGGAATCGCAGCCAGTGTCACGCACCCGCCCTCTGCCACTGAGCTGCGTTCTGCTTCCTAACCCTGGGCTCTTTAATAGGTTCTTGAATTACTTACAGGTCGAAAAACTGAAAACGGAGTCAGGAAATCCGTCTTTACCGCAGAAGATGCGTTCAAAAGATAGAGCAGCTGATGCCAAAAAGATCCAGGATCTGGAGCGACAGGTATGTGTTAAGAATAAATTTTTATCAAGGTATTTCATATCAGTGTACCTTTGCTTCCCGCTTTCATTTCAGAAGTTCTTACTTAGGATTTAGCCAACCTGAGATTTCTTGTTTTTATCCATTTGTTTTAATATGGAACCACCTCTTTTAGTGTTGTTGTTGTGGAATCAACATGAAATACATAGTTACAAAGTTGTTTGTGATTGGACTTCAGTCATAGAAAGTTCCAGCACCCACCCCTTTGCCAGTGTACATTTCCCGCCACTCATTTTCCTCCTGTCACCCACCCCCAGCCTGTCTCTGGGGCAGAGAATTTTCTCCCAACCCTCCTACCCCATCTTTCTAGACAATGTGGTCTGCAGGACTGTTACTGAAAGGTTTGCCTGTATGTCACTTTACCTCCTTTAAGTACTCAGGGAACTGCCTCTTTAAACAGACTTGGTATGTTGCATTTAGAAAACATCAGTAGGGCCAAAGAGATAGTACAACAGAGGGGGCACTTGCCTTTTACGTGGTCAACCCAAGTTCAATCCCAGGTACCCCCTATAGTGCCCTGAGCCACGCCAGGTGTAGCCCAAATAATAATGATAATTTTGAAAAGTAGCAAATGTCATCACGGTCACGGTCCTCCCATTGTTCATCAGTTTGCTCGAGTGGCCCCAGTAACATTGTTAGACTTGTTACTGTGTTTGGCATATCGAATGCATCACGGGGAGCTTGCCAGGCTCTGCCGTGCGGGCGAGATACTCTCGGCAGCTTGCCGGGCTCTCCGAGAGGGGCGGAGGAATTGAACCCGGCTTGGCCAGGCCGGCCGCGTGCAAGGCAAACGCCCTACCCGCTGTGCTATTGCTCCAGCCCTAGCATTCATGTAATATACAATTTATACGAAAAGATGTTGGGCACACTAGGGACTGAAGCGACAGAACAGCAGATCCCGAGTGCTTGACTTGAATGGCTCACCTGGTTTGGTCCCTGACATCTCATGTGATCCCAAAGCCCTGCCAGAACTGATTACTGAGTGCAGCACCAAGAGTAAGCCCTGAGCCTTGCCAGTGTAGCCCCAAAACAAATATAAAATAAGGTACTTTTAGAGTGATGTGTCTTTCGTATGAGAAGACATATTGATAAAGATTATTGATGTCTAACTGTAGACTTTTGGTAATCAGCAGAATTTCAAATTCTGGATATGTCGATAGGGTTTTCTTTCATCTGAACGGAGATAAGTGAGAAAAACATGCAGGAAAGAAGACCCTTGAATTGAAATCCTGTTCTAAATGCTTGAGAAGTTTTGCAAAATACCATGGAAGCAGAAACACTTGCACCCCGAAGAGCTGACCATGATTGTGAATTCTGTCACTCACTGTTTAGGAATAGTCTTTTTATGGCCCTTTGGACTAGGAGGTTTTTTCCTAATCATCTAATAATGCTTATTAAGAAAACTTTTTTTCATTGGAACAGTTATTTTGTGAGGTATACAATTTTTTCCTTATTTTTAAAACTTTAATGTTTTAATTTCAAAGTAAGAATTTTAGAGTCCTGTTTATCAGGGAGAAGATTCCATCAGTCATATCATGACACATATGCAGGTATTATTACATCACAAACCCAAAACCAGGTAGATTACAGCTGCATTGAATATTATCCCCATTTTAATGAGAAAAAAACTTAAAAGCAAAATTAACTTCCTTTTATTGGATCTGTTCTTATATATATATAAAGGTATGACTGGATAATTTAGTTCAGTGGTCGGGAAGGAGACAGGAGAAAAGTAGTTTCAAGAACTAGAAATATTTTGAAGGAATACTAGTTCAAGACTGCTTGGTTTTTATTTAGTGCTAAACATTTAGATTAGCCAATATGGAAGGAACTTGGGGATGAGAGCAAAGAAATTGGTTCTCTGGATCTGTCATTAAAATTTTATTGGTTTGTCATCTGAGATTATATTTTTAAAAATATCACCTATTAGTTCTTTCTAGTTTACTGCATATACATTCCAGATCTTGATAATCCTCTTTCCATGAATGTTTATGTCCTTATGGTTTTAAACTTAATAAATATTTTATAACTAGGATATATTCCAATATATTCAGAATGATTTTTGTGACCAAATTCTGAAATTTTTAAATTAACTCTCTCCTTATGTGGCACATAAATTAAAATGATTTAATTTATGTACTAATTAGATACTGTTCAGATTCATGCTTCTGCTGACTGGAATATTTTACTGTAGTTTAATTTCTATTGAGCAAAATTACTTTCTATTTAACTTATCTAGTACCATTAAATAATATGAAAAAGCAAAATTAAAGAGAATACAAAGTCTGTCCACTGTAAACAATGTAATATACACTTCAGAATATCAATAGTATATTGAAAAATCTTCATAAATAGAAACATTATTAACTTTACAAATTACATAACACTTTGGAGCATTATTTAGTTTGTAAGCAGGTTTTTTAAGTACAACAGCCACCTTGCTTTAAGAAAGATAATTTTTGAGCCCAGATCATTCAAAAAAAAAAATTCTTTTAAGCCTTCACTAGGTGCTAGGTACGCTGCAAAGGACTTTACCAAGGTGAATGTCACTTGATCCTTATTTAATGACATCAAATCCATCAAATTGATGCTATTTTATCCCCATTTTGCCAACAAAAGATTTAGGGTGAAGAGTTGGCATACATCATAAAGCTGCTGGCACGGTCCAACTCCAAATCTGCTGAAACAACTATGATAATTGCCTCTTGGGGCCTCTGTTATTTATATCATTGCTTGTTCAGAGACAAAATAAAAACTTACTCAAGAGTTTAGTGTTTTACAAGTTTTTCAGAAATAATTATAATTCCTTTAGCAAAATCGTGTGTAAAATATATATATATATATATCAGTCACAGTCCTCCCGTTGTTCATCGATTTGCTCGAGCGGGCCCAGTAATGTCCCCATCGTGAGACTTGTTGTTACTGTGTTTGGCATATCAAATACACCCCGGGGAGCTTGCCAGGCTCTGCCATGCAGGCGAGATACTCTTGGTAGCTTGCCGGGCTCTCTGAGAGGGGCAGAGGAATCAAACCTGGCTTGGCCAGGCCGACTGCGTGCAAGGCAAATGCCCTACCACTGTGCTATTGCTCCAGCCCATATGTATATAATATCAAATTAACTTCTGTGGCCTCAGGTATATATTTTTTCATTTTTAAACAGTATTTTAAAAATTATTAAGATTTTTAAAAGTCTTATATTGTCAAGAAAAGTAGCCTTTTATAATATATAATAAGATGCCATTTAATTCTTTCTTATGTTGGAAAAATCAGTATTTGAAAGCTCAAGCTTCATTTGGAAGAAACAGTTGGAGAAGGTTTGGGATCTAGTGAAGATTTTGCCTGTAGAAATAGGTGCTTAGGGAGCTGCATATTAATTGCAAGAAAGTGGCATATTTATTTGCATGTGATTTTCCAATCAGTACCATAGAAACATAATGATCCGAGCAGGGGGGTCATGAGGAAAAAGGGGAGAAAGCTTTGTTCTCAGTAAGGCTAGCAGTGACCAGAATAATTGGAAAAAACCCAAGATCTATTTCAAATAATTCGAATAGGATTTATTTTTAAAAAAAACTAGTTCATGTGTCAGACAAACCACAGATACAAATTTTGATAGGAGCTTGTGCTCCTCCGTATTTGATGTAATCTTGAGATGCAATACAAACGCCTTCAAATTCAAAGCATGACTGGATAGAGTATCACCTAAATTTATACAGTAACAAGCGTAATCATAATGTATCTGTGACCTTCACATATAGGTCAAGGAAATGGAAGGAATTCTGAAGAGAAGATACCCCAATTCTTTACCGGCTTTAATATTGGCTGCGTCTGCAGCAGGTGATACGGTGGAGAGAAGCACAGTGGAATTTATGGAAAAACGAATCAAAAAATTAGAAGCTGACCTGGAGGGCAAAGACGAAGAAGCAAAGAAAAGCCTTCGCACTATGGAGCAACAGTTTCAGAAGATGAAGGTAAATCCCCGTGGTGCTTCAGAGACGGAACGCCAGATCTGGGGGCTTCTCAGATAACACTTAATAGATTGCTCTAAATGGCTTTTTCTCACACTCTTTCTGTAAAGACTTTTTTTTTAATTGAATCACTGTGAGATAGACCCTTACGAAGTGGTTCATGGTTAAGTTTCAGTCATCCAGTGTTCCAACACCCATCCCTCCACCAGTGGACATTTCCCGGCACCAGTGTCCCTAATTCCCTAATTCCCTAATCCCATCACCTCCCATAACATCCCCCGCCTGCCTCTATAACTGGCTCTCTCTCTCTCTCTCTCTCTCTCCCTCCCTCTCTTCCTTTTGGGCGTTAAAAGGCTCTCGGCTGTATTCCTTTCCCGACTTTTAATACTCAGTTCCTGTCCAACTTGCGCATTTCCAGCTGTTCTCACAGCCTCTGACCAGCAGAGGCAAAATAGAGGCAAAAGAGACCTAGACCGAACCTGTCTCTTTCTCCTCGTCTGTCCCTTTCATTTCAGTCATGGGGGGCTGGAGCGATAGCACCGCGGGTAGGGCGTTTGCCTTGCACGCAGCCAACATGGCTGACTCGGGTTCGATTCCCAGCATCCCATATGGTCCCCCGAGCACCGCCAGGAGCAATTCCTGAGTGCATGAGCCAGGAGTAACCCCTGAGCATTGCCGGGTCAATTTACATTGACCCAAAAAGCAAATTAATTAATTAATTAATGAAATACAATCATTTCAGACATGGAATCCTCAAGCACCGAATCATCTTTACATTCTTTACGTAAGTGCTTATCAATATGAGAATTGGTCGTTTAAGTCATGAAAAAAACAATCTCTTAGATATATTAATTATATGAAATTTTTACCGTTTTGAAAATATGTTCACTGAATTTACCTCTCAAAGGAAGAAAGGAATGAGAGAAGGTTTTAAAAGGTAGATCAGGGGACAGAGCAGTGTATGCGGGAAATGATTTGCTTTGTGGATTTTCTGACTTCTTCATCGGATAAAAATGAATCAGAACATACAAGTGCTGTTGTGGCCAAATTTGAAACAGGACATGATATTTAATTTACTTTCAAAGCTTGAGCTGTGGAGCTCTGTGGTCGTTTATGCAGAGTGCTATTATCTAAGAGAAATAAATGGGAAATGCCACTTTTACTCGTCATTATCTTTTAAATGCCTCTTTCCTTTCTAACTTCCTGTCAGTCACTGCCTGTTGTCACGAATAATGATGGTTTAGATTGCCTTAAAAACCTCTAGACTAATATCTACTTCACCGTTAATCATCTCTTGACCCTAGAATCATAATTTCATTATCTTAATCTTTTGTTGTTGTTGCTTTGGGGGCCGCACCAGTGGTACTTGGGGGTTATTCCTGGCTCTGCACGCAGGAATTACTCCTAGCAGTGCTCGGGGAACCATGTGGAGTGCTAACAATTGAACCCAGGTCTGCGGCATGTCAGGCAAGCACACTACCCACTGTACTCTCTCCAGCGCCTCTTATCTCGTTCTTACAATGCATATACACCTTTGTTTATATCCCCAATAACTTCCTATTTCTCTCACAATAAACGGTGGCCCTTTAATCCTGTGTATTGCCAGGGGGAAATACCATGCCAGTGTTTCTCATACCATGCTTCATGTATCCTTCAATACTAACCTGCTTCTTTTTGCCGTATTTTCTACAGTCACAAAAATCATATATTCATATAGTTCATTGTATTGTGCTTCACCTTAGGTGCCCTTCACAATAATGATTTTTTTTTTTTTTTTTGGCTGGCCACAGCCAACAGATGTCCTGGCTGACTCCTGGCTCTGCTCTCAATCCTGGTGATTGGAGGACTGTGCATGATACCAGGGATCAAACCAGGGCTAGCCACGTGCAAGCCAAGCACCTAGACTGCTGTACTATCTTCTTGGCCCAATAACATTTTTTTTAATAAGCCCTCTTGTGAACCAAAAGTTTAGGACTAGCTCAAAGTTCAGATGATGCTTTTATTTTCTAAGCAATCAAAGATTTTTAATTCCGTTATGTAACTTTTCTTAGTTTCTTTTTGCTTTTTTAGTTTCTTTTGTTTTTTTTAACTTTATTTCTTTTAGCTTCTTTTAGCTTTTATTTTGAGTTATATAACTTTTTTAGGGATAATGTCACTTTTATACACTTAATCACCACAGTGCATGTGTGACTTTTACATATACTGGGAAACAAACATTCACACGACTCAGTGCATTGCAGATTTGCTTTGTTGTGGTAGTCTAGGGGGGAAAGCCTGCGGTTTCGTTGAGGTGTGCCTATACTGACAGCTGACCTTCCTTTTTCACAGTTCAGGTATTTCTTCTCTTCAGCTCTCAACCCAAGCAGTTGAGAGACTCCCTGTTGACACCTGCCCTGAACTCCAGATAGACAACATACCTTTGTAAACACTGAGACTCCATGGACCTTCATTTCATTGCCTTTTCTGTATCCACAGTCATTTTAATCGAGTCACCAGGGCTCTTTCTTTCACCTCTTCTGTATGCCATTATGGCTAAAACTGTTTGGTTTTCAGCTATTGTTATAGTTGTTCCTATTTAGCTAGGTACCTGGCTGAGAGGAAATCCTGAGGAAGTGTTTACAATGAACCTCTCACTGAAGGAGTGGTGGGTCGAGTGATTGATATGGTTGAGTCTGTGTCAAGGACTGACAGTCGAGAATATATAAAACCCAGTACTGTGTCTGGAGTAACCAAATAATAAATCATTATAATTGCTATATTATGAATTACTATTCCAGCCTCATTTTTATGTCTCTAAATCTATCTGCCCTAATTATCCTCTTGCCTGTCTCCCTTTTCTTCTTGGAGGTCCAGGCCCACTTCCAGCCACTTCTTCCTTTAATTTCTGGTTCCCTGTATTTTACCTTTAAATTTACACCCATCTCTCAAGGTTGAACCTAAATGTTCCCTCTATTTTTTTTCCCCCCACATTCCTCAAACGTTCAGACCCTACAGTCCTTCATCTACTCTGTGCAAATCCATGGACCCATTATCACAGTTCTCTTAGGACATTGATCTGTTAGCATGTTACTGTTTTAAAGTTAGTCCTGAATTTGCCTTGAGAATCTGACAGTGTCTGGCACCCAGTTGTGGCTCAGACAGTATTGGGCGAATAAGTGAACGAGCAATATTGAAACCTCTCCCCGTAGGGAAAGCGACACAGGTTCTTTACCGAAGTAAATAAATTCCATGCCGACTTTTACCCTGTGAGGCCTCTAAATTGATGTTCGAAGGTTGAAAATGTGTTGTTTCCTCAGAGATACTAATACCCCTAAGTGTATATATACTCTTTTTATCCCAAAGAGTTGTATACTCTCTTTTATCTAAACTCTGGGATAGAAAGAAGGGTACTCAGGACCAGAGAAATGAATCAGAGGGCTGAGCACACGCTTGGCATATTCCTGATACTGCATTGTCCCCTGATTGCTGACAGGAGCAACGCCTGGCCACATGACCTCCAACACTGCTGAGTGTGGCCTGCAAGACACAGCAGTGGGTTGTACAAATACATAAGCAATTTCGTATTTATAAAGCATTCACCAATAGTGGAATTTGCTTCACAAAAATCGACCATACATGCCGGACCCCTCAAAGATTAAGATTTTAGTAGATTTGGCTGACTCGAGGGACAGGATGTAAATTCTGTTGAAAATCACAGAACACATAGTGAGTGCTGGGATGCAGCGAGAGGCAGAACTTGGTAGAAAAACGTGGCTGCAAGAGCCAAAATAGTTAGCAGTACTTGGGCATCATATTGATTCTTCTCTTTAGATTCAGTATGAACAGAGAGCAGAGGAGCAGGAGAAGCTACTTGCCTGCAAGCTGAAGGAAGCGTCCCAGCACCAGTGTGACGACTCCAGGGCGAAAGCACTCGAAGAGGAGCTCAGGGAGATCAAGGAAGCCCATCGGGTCACTGTCACAAACCTCGAAGCTGAAATCGACGTTCTCAAACGTCAGAATGCGAAGCCGGAGCTCAAGAAAAACGATGAGGATGACAAAGGCGTCCAGTCCATAGAGTTCCAGGTGGAACAGGCACACGCGAAGGCGCGAATGGCACGGCTCAGCGAGGAGCTGGCGGCGAAGAGCAGAGAGATACAAACCCTCTCCAAGACCGTGGAGAGGCTCCAGAAGGAGAGGAGAGTGATGCTGTCCCGCCAGAACTCCAAGAGCCGAGAGGAGGTGACTTCAAAGAGCGCCAAGAGAGATGCTCCTCAGCCGGGTAGAGGAGGTAGCCACGCCTCCTCTGGAACCCAGAACGGCAAGCTTTACCAGCCCTCTAATTCCACTGGCTCCCGTCTCTCAGAGGTTCTACAAGAGAACTGCAGGCTTAGAGATGAACTGGAGGGGTTAATTTCGGAGAGGGACGAACTACAGAAGAAGTCGGAAACAACAATGCGCCAACTTGAAAATTCCATAAAAAGGTAAAAGGAAATTTTTAGCCTGGGGGATATTACAGAGTAAAAATGAGAATAACCCTGATGGTTTGTTCCCTAGGAATAGTTCAGCCCTGAACGGAATTTAGAACCAGGTCTTAAGAGACTGTGTTCCGTTGTTGAACATGAATGTGTTTCAGAACAGGGTCCTTTATATGCTAGAAGCCTAGACTTGGGTGGTCCTATGTCGATCCAAACCGTATCTGAGGGCTGACTTCTCTTATCGTCCTGCACCCCTCCAAACTGTTGAGAAGCAGACCCATAGAGCTTTCTTGTGAATGAAAATCATTACTGGTAATCCCCACCAGCCCATGACTATCAGAAAACAGCCATCATTAAAACTACCCGACATACAGCTAAGAGCAAAACCTCTGCTCTTCCCAAATAACTTCGCAATGACCTTGCGTTCACATTAATCCACTGAAGTTCAGTTTTGGGTTTTGTGTGTGTGTGTGTTGTTCTGGTGTGGTGTTCAGGGCTTAATCCTGACTGTGGGCTCAAGGGCTAATCCTGGGAGGGTTCTGGGGTCATATTCACTACAGGGGATTGAAAACAGGGTATGTTGCATGCAAAATCACGATCACGATCATCCTGTTGTTTGTCGATTGCCTCGAGCAGGCCCCAGTAACGTCTCCTTCGTCCTAGCCCTGAGATTTTCAAAAGTGTCATATTCAAGGCTCTTGAATATATCTTGTCATATTTGGCATATTGGGTACGCCACGGGGAGTTTGGCAGACTCTGCCGTGTGGGCAGGTTACATTCTGTAGCCTGCCAGGTTGTCCAAAGTAGGAATGAGATAGTAAGATGTCACGCGGCCACGAATGCAAAATAAGTGCCTTAAAATCCTTAGACTCTTTCTCTGGCCCCTTGCTGAGGATGGGGCTTTTAATCGTCCCTTCTTTCTCCTACTCTCCAAGTACTAACCACTGTCTCTGCTGTAGTTAGGTCTTTTTCAGACGATCAGACAGTACCCTAATGCATGTCCAGTTTTCAGCACCAACCTTCCATGAGTAGACGCTTCTTTCATTCCCACCTCACTTCCTTAAATATGTTCAATATTGCCTGTGTCCTCACCACTATTTCAAAGCTAGTCTTTTCCCAGTCCAGAGCTTTCTCTGTTCTCGTTTTCCTTGACAGTATCAGATCTGCCATGTTACTTCCTACCTGGACCTCAAAGACAAGACACGGCAGTTCTATGACTCCTGCCATCCCATTGTTCGTTGAGTTACTCCAGCGGATGCCAGTAACGTCCCTATTCCTCCCAGTCCTGAGATTTTAGCAGCCTCTTCTTACTCACCTTTTCCCAACGAGTGGAGGCTCTTTCAGGGTCAGGGGAATGAGACCTGTTGCCGTTACTGTTTCTGGCGTATCGAATATGCCACAGGGAGCTTGCCAGGCTCTGCCCACGCGGGCAGGATACTCTCGGTAGCTTGCCGGGCTCTCCGAGAGGCATATATTTAAATATTTCTCTCTATGATTTGTTGCCTACCGTCTGAACCCCATCAAGTATGGTGTGGTAATTATGGAAAACGAGTAGGAAATGTCTTATAATGTTTCCCTAAAGCAGCCTGGAGACATGATATACACAGTTATGAAGCTGTTCAGGATGGGGTTTCAGTCATACATTGTTCCAACACCCATCACCCCACCCCCCCACCTGTTTCTCTGGCAGGCACTCTCTCTCTCTCTCTCTCTCTCTCTCTCTCTCTCTCTCTTCTCTCTCTCTCTCTTTTTCTCTCTCTCTTTTTCTCTCTTTCTCTCTCTCTCTCTCTCTCTCTCTCTCTCTCTCTCTCTCTCTCTCTCTCTCTCTCTCTCCCTCCCCCCTTCCCCTTTTGGGCATTATAGTTTGCAACACAGATACTGAGGTGTTCATTTTTGTTCCTTTACCTGCTTTCACATGCACTTTTTATCCAGAAATTAGCATTTCCAACTATCTTTTTCATAGTGGTCCCTTCTCTCTGTCAACTTCCTTCTCCCCCAACACTTGAAGCAGGCTTCCAACCATGAACCAATCCTCCAAGAACAGGCAACTGGTTTAAAAAAAAACGTTGCTTCTTTAAATCATGGTACCTTAAAACTTTGTTACATCTAAATAATGGAATACAATGTAGCTCTTTTAAAAAATGAAGCCATGAAATTTACTTATAAATGGATGGACATGGAGAGCATCAGGCTGAGTGAAATTAATCAGATGGAAAGGGACAGATGGTTGCGCTCATTTGTGGGATATTAAAATAGTAATAATAATATGAGTCTTAGGATAGTAGAAACAAGTCCCCTTGTTTAATTTTCATACTGACTTCTTATGCTGGGATTGGGCTTGCTGTGAATTAGAGGTTAAAGAAACACTCACGGATGGTTTTCACTTTCTCTCAAGGGTCAAGGAAGATACGACAGCACACATCACCTCTCTCAAGGCGTCTCACCAGAGGGAAATAGAGAAACTCCTTTGCCAGAATGCACTAGAAAATTCTTCTTCCAAAGTGGCTGAACTGAATCGTAAAATTGCATCTCAAGAGGTAGGTACCTTTGTAACAATCTCTTATTACTTTTCCTATTTTTTTTTCTTGTCGGACTCTTAACAGAACATCAATTTTTCAATTTTTCATTTCCATACCATGACTCACAAAGTCATTCATAGTTCAGTTTCAGGTACACAGCTTTTCAGTATCTGTGTCCTCACCAATGTCCGCCTCCCACCACCCAGCCTTCCTGTTTGACAGGGACATTCTTAAGTTTTGTTACTGGAGTCTGGATCTCATGCTTGTTTACATAGTTAAGTACGTTCTCTTCACCACGTCCAAGGCCCCTGCCCCTGCCCCCTCAGTCCACCTCTTCTTCCTTCCCCCCTTTCAGGTGTTTGTTTTTTTGTTTGGGGTCACTGCAATACAGTGTGCATATGTTCTTTTGAATAAATTTTTTTGCATCCTGGGAGTATATACTCAAAAGTGGAATTGTTGGGTTGTATTTGACTGCCACGGCAGAGTCTGGCAAACTCCCCGTGGCGTACCCAATATGCCAAATACCAGTAACAATGATGGGTCTCATTCTCCTAACTCTGAAAGAGCCTTGAATATGGCACTTTTTGAAATCTCAGGGCTAGGACGAAGGAGACGTTGCTGGGGCCTGCTCGAGGCAATCGACGAACAACAGGATGGTCGTGATTGTTGTGATTTGACTGCCGTACATCAGAAAGAACAAGAACAACAACCAGTGCTGGCATGGATGTGGGGACAAAGGGACCCTCTTTCAATGTCGGTGAGAATGCCGACGGGTTCAGTCTTTTTGGAAAACAGCATGGACATTCCTTAGAAAACTAGAAATTGAGCTTCCATATGACCCCAAAATATATTCTGGGAATATATCACAAAGGTGCAAAACACAGTAGAAATGACATCCGCACCTCGGTGTTCATTGCATTACTGTTCACAATAGTCAGAATCTGGAAAGAACCTGAGTGCCCGAGAACAGACGACTGGTTCAAGAAACCTTGGTACAGCTACACAGTGGAGTGCTATGCAGCTGTTAGGAAAGAGGTAGTCATGAAATTTGCTTATAAGTGGATGGTCATGCAGAGTCTCATGCTAAGTGAAATGACTCAAGAATAAAAGAGGGACAGACGTGGAATGACTGCACTCATTTGTAGAATATAAAATAACATAATACGAGACGGACACCCAAGACCAGCGGACACAAGGGCCAGGAATATTGTGCTCCATAGTTTTAGCCTGCCTCATGAGCTGGGGGAGAAGACAGCTGGCATAGAGAATGGCTTACTGAGTCAATGATGGTTGGAGGGATCATTCAGGATGGGAGGTGTGTGCTGAAAGTAGATACAGGACCAAACGTGATAGCCCCTCAGTATCTATATTGCAAACCATAACGCCCCAAAGTAGAGAAAAGAGTATGGGGGAAATTGTCTGCCATAGAGGCAGAGGGAGGGCTGGGGGTGGGAATGGGGGATACTGGGGACATTCAGTGACGGTCACGGTCCTCCCGTTATTCATCGATTTGCTCGAGCGGACCCAGTAACGTCTCCATCATGAGACTTGTTGTTACTGTGTTTGGCATGTACCCTGGTGGAGGGATGGGTGTTCGATCGTTGTATTGACTGAAACTCAAACATGGAAGCTTTGTAACTGTAGCTCACGGTGATTCAATAAAAAAAGTAAATAAATAAAAGTAACTTTATTCAGACTTTTCTGAGAAATCATAGGGGTTGAACCAGAGAGCATTCCCACCAGCAGTGGATGAAAGTTGTTTTTTCTCTACATTTCCGCCAATAGATTGTTTCCAATTTGGGGTTGGTTTTTTTTGGGGGGGGGGGGTTTATTTATTTATTTATTTTGATAGGTGCCTTTCTCACTGGTGTGAAATGCTATCTTGATTTGAATTTCCCTGAAGATAATTAATGAGCATTTTTTTTCCATGTGCCTATTGACCAATCATCTGTCTTCGGAGAAGTGTTCATTTCCTCTCCCCATATTTTCATAGTGTTGTGGGGATTTTTGTTGTTGCTGTTCATCTTTGTGAGTTCTTTGCATACCCTGGATATTAAACCTTTATCTGATATGTTAAGTACAAATATTTTCTCCCAATCACTTGGGTTCCTTTTAGATTTTTTGTGTGTTTTTGTATTTTTGCTGTGCAGAAACTGTTTAAGTTTTTCCTAGTCCCATTTATTTTTGTTTCTGCTTCCTTTGCCAATGAAATTATATCATTGAAAATTCCTTTTTTGAATCTTTTTTTAATTAAACTACCATACATAGATACATGGTGACTAAGTTGTTCATGATTGGGTTTTGATCATACAATGTTCCAACCACCAGTGTTCCCAGTGTGTCTCCTTTCACCTCACCCCCAGTCTGCCTTTACGGCCCCTTCCCTCCCTCCTTCCCTGTCTCTCTCTTTGTCCCTCCCTCCCTCCCTCCTTTTCTTTGTCTCTGTCTCTGTCTCTCCGTTTGTCTCTGCCTCTGCCTCTGCCTCTGTCTCTCTGTCTCTCTCTCTCTCTCTCTCTCTCTCTCTCTCTCTCTCTCTCTCTCTCTTCCCCCTCCCTCCCCCCTTTGGGTATTCTGGTTTTGGTACAGGTACCTTTGAGGTACAGATCCTGGCGTGTTCTCCCGTTGTTTTCCTTAATGTACTTTACGGCTTTGGGGTACCTGTGGACATTGCCTACATTATAGAAAGTATGTAGTAAGGAGCAGCCTGGATAGAAAAATAATGTCATTATGCCATAGTGTCACAAATGCTCCTTTCCCAAGTTTCTAAACATTATTCATTATATTATAAATTCAACATAGCTGTTGTGGTCAAAGGAGAGCATTAGAAAGAAGAGATAATCACTTTTCCTAGTTTTATAGTTTCTCATAGAAGTTTTTCGTTTACTTTGGTTTCTTTGTCAAAAAGTATGGAACTGACTTACTATGACACATATTATTAGGTTTATGTTGTCTTTTTTTTTTTTAGTCTATAGCTTGATAATCCTTATCAGATGCCAACTATAAATGCTTCAAATGCTCCTTTATTCAGAATGCTCAAACTGTATAGAGGTTTATTTCAGAAGTCATGTGTTTTAGGCCTTCAGAAGAAAAGTACTAAAAAGTTAGCACAGTCATTCATTTGTACTGAGTATGGTGTTTCATTACAGTGATTGAAAGAAACAAAGTGATGGACTTAGTTTAATTTGTTCAAAGTTGATCTTAGTTCTTTTATTTTTGTTTAAAACTGATAACTTAAAAATAATCAATTTTTAGTACAAAAAATCATAGTTGATATTTGTGTATTTTTCAAATAATGTGCAAGGAAGAGCTTTACTAATTCAATACTTCTAATACAATTTCCTAGGTACTTATAAAACATTTCCAAAGTCAAGTTAATGAGCTGCAGGAAAAACAAGAGTCTCTTGCAGTTTCTCAAGTTCGAGAAGAAATTTTGCAAAAAGAGGTAGGAAATATACAAAATATAGGGCTGACATGGGCTTTTGGTAGCCGTTTTCAATCATAGCCATATTTCCGTTTCATATTTTTGACTTAACTATACATATAGACAGTCTGTCAAAACGATATAAATATGAGCTTAAGTCATTCATGTGCTTGTATTTTTTGTTGAGATTTTTCTGAGCAGTTGGCGGGGTAGTTTTTGAAGGGATCTTTTGCCTGTTCAGTGGGTGAAATTGGATGGCTCTGACCATATCTACATGAAGTATTAATGTTACTCTGTTAGAAAAACAATCATGATGGTCCTACTGCATCACTAATAATATTATTATAGGAAATCGGTCTTCCTGAAAACTCACCAGCATGATCACTTTATTCTAGAAAATGTGAAGAACCAGATAAGCTGTGCTTCCTGTGCTTTGAGGCATATACACCTCTGTGTGTATGTGTTGTGTGTGTGTGTGTGTGTGTGTGTGAGAGAGAGAGAGAGAGAGAGAGAATAGAAAAAGAGAGAGAGAATAGAGAAAGAGAGAGAGAGAGAGAGAGAGAGCTTCCTATTCTGTCTCTTCAATGAAGATAATGATAATCTACCTTTTAATAAGGAACACGTCGGAACACGTCCGTGCTAGCTGTTGTAACAGGTCTGATGTCTTCTCATTGCCAGGACACCACTGAGGTCCCTGGGTCCCTTTGTGTTACAAGATTTGTCCTCCTTAGATTGATTTGAAAATACCAACTTCTCTGACTTCTGGAGGAGCTCAGGAAATTGTTTCATCTCCACTGGACTGGCTGTGAAACTGTCTCTGGGCAACAAACGAGGCAGTCTTGATTCATCTGGTTGTTTCCCTCTTTCCAGAAACGTAGTCATGCAGAGCTGTTTGGCAGAAAATGGTGGTTTCCTACATCTTCTGGTTTTTCTGGAAGTTGAAGGAAAGGAGGAAGGGAGATAAATCTCTGGCTCAAGCATTTGGCTTGTAAAAGCATTTCTAAACAATGGCAAAATGTTGAGTTTCGCTGTTCATTTATTTCTTTCATTTGGGAAGGGTTTTCTGAGGCCAGGAATTAAATCCAGGGATCGAATGCAAGGCAGGTGCTTTTCTGAGCAACATCCCGAGCTCTGTTTTTAAAATAATCATATAGAGCTTAAGAAAATTTCCTTTTAAAAAATTGTTTATCATAGTTCAAACGTGTATTTAGCATGTATCTTCGTTTAGTTGATGCTGCTCAGGTGCGTATTCCTCACACCAGTTTTTTTTTCTTTTTTTTAGTATTCTGGTAAAAGGCTAATATTTCATATTTTAGCACTTTATATTTTAGGTTTTATTTTTCCATCTGAGTTGACTCCAACAGTAACTACTGTTAAGTTTCCCCTTGCACCCTAAGGATACAAGAAAGAACTTCAATTTATACTCAGACTCCCTACCAATAACTTAGAGAAATAGTGCTGTTACTTCTTATTTTCCAGTTCAACAGTTATTATATGCATTTAACTGGTCATAAATTCCTTTCATCAGTGAGGTTTTGTTTTGTTTTAATCTTTATAATACTCTTAAGTTTCCGCAACCGTGAGAGATTGACTTTTCAAATAAGACGACTCTGACCAGTCATTCATGAAAAGAATCAAGATCCATATAACTTAGATGAAATATTCTGTAGCTTGCTGCTATTATCTCATGAGTGAAGTGGAATGATTAAGAAGTCCGTGATAAAATCTTGGTTTCAGATGTTGTTTGCCACGGTCAAACTCCCTAGCAAGTTCAAGTAAACACTCAGTCACAGCGTCAGATCTGACCTGCTGAGCAAAGGGCCAGGTGTGCTGCCCTTCCCCCACACCCAGAATAAAAATAGATAAATGAAATTTGCAAGGCCAGATAGATAGCTCAAAGAATTGAGTATCTGTAGGGGTAAAGGCAGCTCAGATAGAGAAGGGAGCACCAAATAAAGGGTGCTGGGAAGATCCGCCCAGGATGGGAGATGCATGCTGAAAATATTCTATAGACAGAACATGATTGCCACTCAATGTTTCTTCTGCAGACCACAGTACCCAAAAGGAGAGAGAGAACAAAAGGGAGTGCCCTGCCACAGAGGCAGGGTGGAATGGGGGGTATGGGGGTGGGAGGGATACCCGGATTGGTGGGGGTGGAGAATGGACACTGGTGGAGGGATGGGTACTCGATCATTATATAACTGAAATTGAAGCACAAAAATTTGTAAGTCAACAACTGTACCTCATGGTGTTTCACTAATAAAAAAAAAAAAGAAAGAAAGAATTGAGTGTATGCTTTGAATGTAGGTGACCCAAGTTCAACCCCGGGCACCATCTGGTTCAACCTCTGAGCACCTCAGAGAATGACTCCTGAACACGGCCTAGAGTAGCTCCCAAGCACCACTGGATATGGCCCAAAACACAGGGACAGAATTGAATACAATGTTCACCTTGTTGACGCCATGTACTGTGACTTTAGTAAAATGTAAGTATATTAAAGCATAGCTCATCAGGGGCCAGAGACGTGCAGCAGTTAGTACATGGCATCACCCAGGTACTTGAGTATTCCTGGCACTGCAGGACCCGTGAAGCATCACACCCGAAGGCCTGTGCACGGAATCATCCACCAGCCTGCCCGAGAGGGGCCCCTGGTGTCTCCTGAGTCCTACCTTGGAAGCCCTCCCCCACCTCCACTCCCCAAAAGTAACACAGCCCGTGAACACGACTTAAAGTTTGCTTTTCAGTTAGTACAAGCAACATCTGTCAACGCTTTGTCCTGAACTGAATTTATGTAGCTGGCTAATGAATGTCTCTTTGGTCAGTCAAAGATATAGTCACTTATTTGTGAATATTGGTAAACATCTACCAGGCTGTGCACAGGTGCAAGTACTAAGCACAAATGAGGAGAATAAAATCGATGAAATTCCTGCTCTCATGGAAATTCCAGTTTGGGGGGATTAAATGAGCAAATAAATGGCAGGCTTTATGCATAAAATTAACTGAGACAACGTCAGTAAAGTGCTTAGCAAAGCACATGATAAACCCACCACTACCTGTGAAGCCTCCTTTTTTTTTTTAATTTTTATTAGTGAAACACCGTGAGGTACAGTTGTAGACTTACAAATTTTTGTGCTTGGGTTTCAGTTATATAATGATCAAGTACCAATCCCTCCACCAGTGCCCATCCTCCACCACCCCTGATCCCAGTATCCCTCCCACCCACCCCCACCCCCCCATCTCACCCTGCCTATGTGGCAGGGCATTCCCCTTTGTTCTCTCTCTCCTTTTGGGTGCTGTGGTTTGCAAAAGAGGCATTGAGTGGCAATAATGTTCAGTCTATACTGTACTTTCAGCAGGCATCTCCCATCCTGGGCAGATCGTCCCAGCACCCTTTATTTGGTGATCCCTTTTCTATCTGAGCTACCTTTACCCCTAGAGTGTGCGGCTGGCCTCTAAGCCATGGAGTGAACAACCTGGTATTTATCACAGCTGTTCTCGGGTGTTAGTCTCCTATTTTGTTACTTTATGTTCCCCAGATGAATGCAATCTTTCTATGTCTATCCCTCTCTTTCTGACTCATTTCACTTAGCATGACACTTTCCATGTAGTACCACTTGTATGTAAATTTCATGCCTTCATCTTTTCTAACATCTACATAGTACTCCGTTGTGTACATGTACCAAAATTTCTTTAACCAGTCATCTGTTCTCGGGCACTCAGGTTTTTTCCAGATTCTTTCTATTGTAAACAGTGAGTGAAGACTCCATTTAAGTACAGCTCTCTCAGGTTAGGAATCCCGTTGCCTACTTCAGCTTCCAGTTGGGTGACTTTCCTTGCAAACTCTGTTGTACAACCCCAAGTAGATTTCTCAATCATTTGGTTGCTTCTTTCACTCAGCAGAGTAGAATTTCCCAGCTGCTGTACTAGAAATAGCTAGAAATGTTATGTAAAACAAGTAAATACCACTTTCAGTCGCTTAAAAATTTACAGACGCCAGAGAGAGTGCAGTGGTTATGTGACCAGCCCTGGTTTGATCTCCAGAACCACATGCCCACCCCCACCACCCTCTTGAAGCGATACCAGGCTTGATCCCTGCATGAAGAACGAGGAATAAGCTTGAGCACAGCGGAGTGTGGCTGTGCTCAAAAATGAAAGTATTTTGATTTTCCTCTGCTTTGCTTTGCATTTGTAGTCTTTTTTTTTTTTTACCACTTCCAGTGGTCCTCAAGGTTTATTCCTGATTCTGTGCGGTGTACTGGGGGTTCTGTAAGGTCCTGGGGATCACACCTGGATCAGCCACATGCACGGAAAGCACCTTCCACACTTTCCTATCTCTCTGGCCCCCTCCCATTTTAAAGACTGCTTTAGGAACAGAAACACAATAGAATACTACACAGCAACTAGAAAAGATGAAGTCATGAATTTGCTTCTACGTGGATGGACACGGAGAGTATCATGCTGAAGAGAGACAGACGCAGAACGATCGCACTCCTTTGCAGAGGATAAAGAAACATTAGAGGAGAATAAGATCCAAAGGCGATGGATATCAAGGGACAGGAGTACTGTTCCTTTGTAGGAAACTTGTCACAGTGGGGAGTGTGTGTGTGTGTGTGTGTGTGTGTGTGTGTGTGTGTGTGTGTGGCTGGGACGGAGGGGAGTATGGGACAGGGAAGGAACCGCTATGACGCTGGGAAGTGGTCAAGTGTGTATGAGAATTGGGTGCTGAAAGAAGGCCTAAGGGGATATGCATGTTACAGTTTGGCAAATCACTGTGCCTCAAACGAAATCAAGAAAAAAGGGCAAAGTGCCTGCCATAGAGGCAGATCTGGAGTCACAAGGATAACTGGGGACATCAGCGGAGAGAAAGGGATTCTGGCGAAGGGATTGGTGTTGGAACGTGGTATGCCTAAAAATCACGAATAACTTTTACTATGGTCATTCACAGTGATTCCTTAAAAAAAAAAAAAAAAATTGTTTTTGACCTACTTTAGAAAGAGGATGTGGTTTTGTTTGTTGCCATTTTGTATTATCTGTCTTGTTCCATTAGGTTCTGGTTGTTCACACATGAAACATAATTTCCTCAGTTTTTCGTTCCGATACCGTAAAGATACTAGTCTTCTCTGTGAGCCATGGGAAGGACGTATTGCACTGGAATCTGACCTCCGAGGAGGAAGATACCCTGCCTTTATTTTGTTCTTTTTGTGTTCGGACACCCCCGAGGGTTCAGGGGCTCCTCCTGGAGAATGCGTGGGATTGCTCTCAGCAGTGCTCGGGACAGGCAGTGCCAGGCACTCTGCCCCTTTGGGCAACCCCAGAGACTGTGGCTTCGTCTCTATATCATGATGACCTCAGACAGCAGCTGATGGAGCTCAGCATTACTTCATAGCACTACTTTATTAATACACATACATATTTTGGACTGCTTGGCTATAGATATATAATAAGTTTTAAGAGCTAGGTGAGAATTATAAATAGAATTATAGGGAATTGAATGAAGAACGATAATATTTATTGAACTCTCTTCTATGCATGAGGTGCTATATTATGTTCACTGCTTTTTTTTTTTTTTTTGCTTTTTGGGTCACACCCAGCGATGCTCAGGGGTTACTCCTGGCTTTGCACTCAGGAATTACTCCTGGCGGTGCTTGGGGGACCATATGGGATGCCGGGGATCAAACCCAGGTCGGCTGCATGCAAGGCAGACGTCCTACCCTCTGTGCTATCGCTCCACCCATGTTCACTGCTTTAAATGTATTTGTAATTGCCCTTTTGGCAAGTACCTTATGGCAAGGTTGACTGCCCCCAGAAAAAGGGTTCTGTATTGTTTTTATAGAAAAACAGGCAGCTTGTTATTATACAGGAAGGGCAGGAGGTATTCCAGTATTAGAAACATTTGCAATGTATAAGATCTCTTAAGAACAGTCAGAAAATTCATTATTTATTGAACTCACGGAATGCGAATAGTAATTCTGATAACTCAAGACACCTTTGTTGTTAACAAATGCCCCTTACCTAGAGAAAATGTATACAGGACATAGTGAACATTCTTGCTTCAGCGTCTAGGGAAGTCTCACTGGGCTGAGCACATGCTTCACATGCAGGAGACCCGGGTTCAACCCTCAGTTCAATCCACGTGGTCTCTGGAGCTCTGCCAGGTGTGTCCCAGCCCTCTCCTCTGAAAAAAAAGATCGTTTACAATTTTGTAATTTTTCCTTGTGATTGTAACCTTTCATTGCTAAACACCTCAATTGTAGATTACAAAACTTATCGAAGAATTGAAAGAAGCCAAAGAAAACCATACACCAGAAATGAAACATTTCACGGGCTTAGAAAAGAAAATTAAACAGATGGAAGTAAGACATGAGCAAAGAGAGCAAGAACTTCAACGGGTAAAGTAGTAAATCATGTTTCGTATCTGTATATAATATAAAATTTTTTATAATTAAATATAAGTAAATAATCAGATAGCTTTTTTAAGTGCCTCTCTCTTGCTTTAATTTTGCCATTCCTAATAAAACATTTGTGGTTCCATTTTATTTTTATTGTCACGCATAAATCTGGAGCTACTGACATAAGACTTTGCATCTCAAATTCTCAAGGATATGAGACATATCAACATTCTCTGAAGAAATAAACGTGTATACTGTTCTTAATTATAGATGGGTATCACTATCACTATCACCCCATTGTTCATTGATTTGCTCGAGCAGGAACCAGTAATGGCTCCATTTCTCCCTGCCACGTGCTAGTGTAGCCCGATGGCATATTGGGGGCTCTTTCAGGGTCAGGGAATAAGGACCATCATTGTTACTATTTGTGGCATATTGAGTATGCCACGGGTAGTTTGCCAGATTTATATAGATGGGTATATAAACTGTCATACAGTGGATTGTGGATAGTCCAGTGGGTGGGGCACTTGACTTGCATGTGACTAAAACCTGGGTGTTTTGGGGTTTGTTTGTTTTTTTTTTTTTTTTTGCTTTTTGGGTCACACCCAGCGATGCTCAGGGCTGACTCCTGGCTCTGCACTCAGGAATTACTCCTGGCGGTGCTTGGGGGACCATATGGGATGCCGGGGATCGAACCCAGGTCAGCCACATGCAAGGCAAACGCCCTACCCACTGTGCTATCCTCCAGCCCTAAAACCTGGGTGTAATCCCCAGCACATTACCCCCAGCTCTACCAGGAGTGATTACTGTTCTAAAGCAATCATTTAAAATTTATCAATTTAAAAGTCATGCCTAACTCCAGTGATAATTATAATCAATGCACTTAATTAAAAACAGCTAAAATAATAAATCGCTGAAAACGGCAACTGTTTTTATTCACCTGCCTGGTTGCTGAAATTTAGCTTTGTTGGGGCAGTTGGTTTGCTTGTCCTGTCACCGCCAAGCACCACAAAAGGGGCCGTTTAGAAAATGATCCATGTCCTTACCGTTCTGGAGAATAGAAGTATAATATTGTGGTCATAGTTGATTTGGCTTTTGGTGAAAGCATTTTCTGACTTGCTTATTGCCTGTGTTGATAGATATGCTTTGTGAATGGAGAAACGGAGGAGAATCGAGAACAAGAACTGTGTGCTGTCTCTTCTAAGGAGACTTGTTCGTCTGATTAGGGTCCTTTTCTCATGGTCTCACTGAGCCACTGTTCCTTACTTGAAACATAACCAGACTGAGAGTCAGGGTTTTGCTGTGTAACATATTCTGAAAACAGCACCAAAAGCATGCGCAATTTTATGGTGGGTCTCACTTCCGCAGGAACCCCCAGTCTCTTTAACCATTCAGCATTTTTATTTTTTCTTCACCCACTCACCTTTTTACACAGTATTTCTGGATCATTTCAGTTTTTGAATCGTTAATCTATAATCCATCAAAATTCCGAGTTATCTTCGGAGGGGTAGGCATGTTTGTTCTTGAGAAACACTGTTTTTGTGCCCCTGTTTTTTATGTCTTGGCCTTTGGTGGTTAGTGATGCTTATAACTCAAATTTTCTCCAAGTCCAGTACTTTGAAGTCATAATTGCTGTATTGTAAGTTAGATCTGGAGAGAGTTTCATTTCACAGTTGAGAAAATCAATCCGTGTGAGCCAACCGTAAATGGGGTAGTTAAGATCGGGAACTCTGGAGCCAGGCCACCTGCGTTTGAATCCTGAGTTTCTGTCCAGTGGATCATATCTGACCATTGGTATATATTTTTTTTGACTTTTCAGTGCCTCCATTTCCCTACCCGGGAAATGGAGATAAAAACCTAGCCACTGGTGTGCTTTCAGGATTTCTCAGCTCCCAGTGCTCCCATGCCTCTTGCTCCACATTCACCCTGGAGGTCCTCCAAGTGTTCTCTACCCTAAACACTATGAACTCTAAGGATAATTTGGATTTTCTTTTTGGTAGATAATACAGCAGACACGCCAAGTAGTAGAAACTGAGCAAAACAAGGAGATTGAAAAATGGAAAAGACTCGCACAATTGAAGAACCGAGAACTAGACCATTTCCGCAGAGAACTAGACTCAATCCTGGATGTTCTTCGAGAGCTTCACCAGCAGGGGGTCGTTGTGCCGGTTGCTTTTGCAGATGAAATTAGTGGACCAGAATATTACTAGGAACTTGTATTGCATGTGAAGTTGTGTCGCGATCAAAAGGAAGCCTTTGAAAACGGGTGTGCGTGACGTTTCCCAGAAACAAACACAAAAGCAGCATTTCAAAATAAATTGGCCTTTGCCACGAGAAAAAGAGCATCATAATGTATTTTACTGAAATTCATCGTCACATTTTAAATCATTTGAGTCCTTTTTTAATATCAGGCCATGAGAGTGAGATGTAGTGAGATTTAGTGTGAAAAGTCTCCTATGTGGACCATAGATATGGAAAGAAAGAGAATTTTCCCATACCAACATTTTGACTAGTTAAGGTGTTAATAATTCCTGGAACCAGAAAAATTGCGCTTCTTCTGGAAACAACAAGGATGTGAGTGCACTCGTGGACAGTCACAGTAACAGTTAGCCAAGTAGTAGACCTGCCACAAAAATTTAGACAGGACTTGTCACTTCTGCACAAGAAAACAGTGAATGACTGTATTCTTCCAGATCTCCACTTCTACCTTGAAGTGCCTCGTTTTTTTGTTTTGTTTTAATTTTTATTAGTGAAACACCATGAGGTACAGTTGTAGACTTACAAACTTTTGTGCTTGGGTTTCAGTTAGACAATGATCAAATACCCATCCCTCCACCAGTGCCCATTCACCACCACCACTGATCACAGTAGCCCTCCCACCCCCATTCCCTCCATCCCACCCTGCCTCTGTGGCAGGGCATTCCCTTTTGCTCTCTCTCTCCTTTGGGGTGCTGTGGTTTGCAAAAGACTCATTGAGTGGCAGTCATGTTTGGTCTATAGTCTACTTTTGGCATGTGTCTCCCATCCTGGGAGGATCCTCACAACACCCTTTATTTGGTGTTCCCTTCTCTATCTGAGCTCCCTTTTCCCCTAGCGTGTGCAGCTGGCCTCCAAGCCATGGATTGAACCTCCTGGTACTTATCTCGGCTATTCTTGGGTGTTAAGTCTCCTATTTTGTTACTTTATATTCCCCACATGAACTCAATCTTTCTATGTCTGTCCCTCTCTTTCAGACTCATTTCACTTAGCATGATACTTTCCATGTAGTCCATTTGTATTAAATTTCATGCCTTCATCTTTTCTAACAGCTGCATAGTATTCCATTGTGTAGATGTGCCTGAGGAGTTTCTTTAACCAGTCATCTGTTCTCGGGCACACAGGTTTTTCCCAGATTCTGGCTATTGTGAATAGTGCAGCAAAGAACACAGAAATACAGATGTAATTTCAACTGTACTTTTTTGCCTCTCCAGGATATATTACCAGGAGTGGTATTGCTGGGTTAAATGGGAGCTCAATTTCTAATTTTTTGAGAATCGTCCAAAAGGAAGTGCCTCATTTTCACACTGACATAAAGTACAAAATATATTTTATACTTAGTCAGAAATTTGGTTTATTACTTTTTTTAATCTTTTATGGTATTTGTCTTATATACTAATAATTTCTTGAAATTCTAAAACTATAAGGCCCTCCCGTTGATCATCGATTTGCTCGAGTGGGCCCAGTAACGTCTCCATTGGAGACTTTGTTGTTACTGTGTTTGGCATATCGAATACTCTCAGTAGCTTGCCGGGCTCTCCGAGAGGGGCGGAGGAAGAACTCGGGTCGGCCATGTTGGCTGCGTGCAAGGCAGACGCCCTACCCGCTGTGCTAACATTTTTATTTATTTAAGAGTAATATATACTTTTCAGAAAGCAAAGCATGCATAACAGCTGAATTGTTATGGCAAAAAAGGAGATGGTTAAAAAAAAAAGGCGATGTGGGTATATAAAATACTAGGAAGTTAATATGATCGCCACTTTGTTTACAAGTGTTTTGAACTAACATTGGCCAATAAAACTATATTGGTAAGCCACATAATAATTTTTAACATTCTATTAGACACATCTGAAAAGATAAAAATGCAAAGTTTTTTAATGAATCACCATGAGACACAGTTACAGACTTACAAACTTTCGTGATTATGTTTCAGTCATACAGTGATCGGGTACCCATCCCTCCACCAGTGTCCCTTCTCCACCCCCAATGTTCCCAGTCCCTGCCACCATCCCTATACCACCCTTACTCCCCAACCACCCCCCACTCCCTCCTCTGTGGCAGACACATTCCCTTTTACTCTCTCTCTTCTTTTGGGTGTTATGGTTTGCAATACAGGTAGTAAGTGGCCATCAAATACGCAAAACTTTGAATTCTATCATTTCACATACCTAAAATAGCAATCAAAGTCACTGTCACTGTCCTCCCGTTGTTCATTGATTTGCTCGAGCGGGCCCAGTAACGTCTCCATTGGAGACTTTGTTGTTACTGTGTCTGGCATATCGAATACGTCACGGGTGGCTTGCCAGGCTCTGCCGTGCGGGCGAGATACTCTCGGTAGCTTGCCGGGCTCTCCGAGAGGGGCAGAGGAATCGAACTCGGGTCGGCCCTGTTGGCTGCGTGCAAGGCAAACACCCTACCGCAGTGCACTCGCTCCTATGTGAAGTTCTCAAACTCTGATATACTTTACATTTAACTGTATTGATTTGAACTAATCATATTCCAGGTTTTAAACACCAAATTCTAATAATTACAATTTAAAAACATTTATCACTTGATCACTTGACATCCCATTACTCATCAATTTGCTCAAACGGGTGCCAGTAAGGTCTCCATTCGTCCCTGTCCTGTGCTAGTATAGCCAAATGGCATCTGTTTACTCCAGGAACATGAAGAGCCAATTGGTCAGGGTCTTGACTAAGAAGTCTGACTATCTCATAGGTGGGCAGCCATGCGATCTTTTGATGTCCCGTGGAATCCAGTTGCTAACAGTTCTAGTCTAGAGGTCATCTCCAAATCTCATTATGTGACCAGCCCATCTGATTTTTGACGCCTAGGCAAATGAGACAGCGTCCCTGATTCTTGATTGTCGACGGAGATCGAAATTCCAGATTCTTTCTCTCATTTGAGTGAAACATGATACTCCAAGCATAGCTCTTTCAGTTCCTCTTTAGGAGACCCGAATAGTGTTCTCATCCTATTTGCGTAGGGCCCAGGTCTCTGAGGTGTATGTTAATGCAGGAAGAACAGTGGAATCAAAGAGATGTGCCCGGAGCTGGAGGTTCTTTGTCCTCTCAGCTATTTCTTAGACACTCTTGAAGGCGTTCCAAGCCGCTCTCTTCCTCCTGCGCAGCTCAGGTGCCAGGTCATTCCTCATGTTGACTTCTCGACCTAGGTACACGTAACTGTTGCATTTGGAGATGTTCATTCCGTTGAGAGCGAATGTAACATCAGGAATGAGACCATTTCTCATAAACATCGTCTTCATGAGATCTAGCTGTAGTCCGACCTTTCCACACTCGCTGTCAAAGTCGGCCAACATTTATGCCATTTGGCTGATGTTTGGTGTTATTGAAACGATGTCATCAGCGAAGCAGAGTTGGTGTAGTTGCCGACCATCTATCTTCACTCCCATTACTTCCCATTTTTTGATGGGGTTGGGTATTTTCTTCTTGTAGAGTTCGACCACTGCCTTGTATGTCCTTGATATCAACCCCTTATCAGATGTGTATTGGGCGAATATCCTTTGCCATTCTGTACACTGTCTTTGTGTTTTGGTCACTGTTTCTTTGGAGGTGCTGAAGCTTCTTAGTTTAAGATAGTCCCATTTGTCTATCTCTGTTTTCACTTGCTTGGCCAGTGGTGTGACATCTTTGGAGATAACCATTAGCTTCAGTGTCATGGAGGGTTTTGCCAACTTTGTCTTCAATGTACCTTATGCTTTCTGGTCGGATGTTGAGGTCTTTAATCCATTTTGATCTTACTTTTGTACATGGTGTTAGGCAGATGTCTAGTTTTGCCAGGACAGTTTGTTAAAGAGGCTTTCCTTGCTCCACATTTCTTCTCTGATGTGGTTGATGCCTTCTCGTCTCGGTCAGACCAATGACGTCGTACTTGATCTTTTGCGCTTACACCATCAGGTCCTCAGTGGATGCATCCGATGCCAGCATACATGCATTGAAAGTACAGACAGTCATTTTTGTCCTTCTTCATTTTGGCAGCCTAGTTCTGCGCTGAGATTTTATCAGCCTCTCCTCCTTCATCCTTCTTAACGTTGCCGTATTAGTTGCTCTTTCAGGGTCAGGGGAATGAGACTCATTGTATTTACTGGTTTTAGCATGTTGAATATACCACTGATAGCGTTCCAGGCCCTGCCGTGAGGGCGGGATATTCTCGGTAGCTTGCCAGGCTCTCCAAGAGGGATAGAGGCTTTTAGGGTGGCCTCTAATTGCCCTTGCAGGTGTTCCCATGGTTCAAACCATATTTGAACCCCATCAAATATGGTACCATAATTTTGGGAGATGGGTATTAAGTGTCTTATGATGTGTCGCACGGCCGCAAAGCAGTTAAAAACAGCATGAAGTGAAATAAAACAGTAATTATAAAACAAAGAAATAAGATTTGTAACAGATATAAAATGCAAAAATCAAACATAAGAAATGCAATTGATGTCTTGACATTTATCATTTTTAAATGTCTGGAGCGATAGCACAGCGGGTAGGGCGTTCACCTTACAAGCGGCCAACATGGCCGACCCGAGTTCGATTCCTCTGCCCCTCTCGGAGAGCCCGGCAAGCTACCGAGAGTATTCGAGATGCCAGACACAGTAACAACAAAGTCTCTAATGGAGACGTTACTGGGCCCGCTCGAGCAAATCGACGATCAACGGGAGGGCCTTTTAAATGTCTTTTTCCGAAGGATAGAAAGAACATTATAGTTTACATTTTTTATTGTGAAAGAATTTTTAAGTTATAATATAAATTTTTTTATTATTGGATGCAGTTTCATGTGGTTTTTATGTGCAAGCCAACCACTTCTCCTCCCCTCTTTGTCCTTTTGCCAACCAACTGTGGGGTGCAAGCCATCCATAACCATGAGTGGTTCTGAAACAAGGAAAGTCGAACCTTAAACATTCCTTACAAGAAATTACACCCTACCTTGATGTAGATTCTATAGTTCGTTTTGTAATTAACCATGCTCATGTTAGGTATATTCAATTCTATGTGAAGATGAAAAATTCATAAATGTATTTGGATGAGAAATATC